ATTTGGTATGTATTTTCATAAAATATAAACAAAAGAAATCAAAATCAATTTCTTGAGAGCTGCACCAAGTTTCATATGTCTGAAGTCTAGTAAAGACTGGCATTCCACAATCTTACAATCTACTATTCTGATTCTGATGAAAACCACTTTAGCATCAAAGCTATCAATTCCTGTGTCTTGTATTAGACTTATATCAATGGAAAGGCAAACGTAATCTGATTCCAGGACTAAGATTAGTAATAACCACATAGGAGATGAAAAAAGCTTCACCATACCTACAAAGCAGAAAAAAAAATTAATAAAACTACTTGCTAAGACACTATTGTTTGTCTGACCAAGTAGTTAAAGCCAATTTACTTCAAAATGCACATTCAAAGGCAATGAAATGAACTCACCTTCAAGCAGATGGGGTAAGGGAGGGCTAAAATCAGAAGGTAAAAGGCATAATTTAAAAAAAATTAAGTCTGAAAATCTTACCTGCACACCCTACACAATATGATAAGAATTGTGGTTAGTTCTAGCTGTGCACTGTGTTGAGTTTGTTTCCTTTACAGGAATTTCCTCTACCTCACTGCTATCATCCCTTCCTTTCTCAGTTTAGTTGCATCAGGTTTGAAATTTCCGGATGATTTTCTTGTAAAAAGAACGGGGGAAAAACCTCCTAGTAAAAGATCAAAGCTTCTCAGTTTCTAAAATCTTCTATTTGTATTGTGTGCAAAAATGTGTTGGATTTTTTAGTTTGCTTCATTTAAGAGGAGAAAGAGTAAAAGTTTCATTGCCTTCCCCCCCCCATATGCTGTATTAAGGTGGTTCAAAAAATCTGTAATATCTGAAAAGTATAAGATTATTCCAATATGGAATAATATTCACTCTGAGAGTCAAGGTCTCCTTATCCTTAATGTCCCCAGCTACCTTCCACACCCACTGCAAGTGGGCACTATAATGGGGGCACTAATACTTCCTGTCTGTGTCCTCCTAGTTAAGCCTCATTAGTTACCCAAACATAGCTTGGCAGAAAGAGGAGCCCTGATGAATCTGAGCCATCTATGACTTGCTTCTGGGACATGCTAGGCAGGCAGAGCACTTCAGCAACATAGTCCCACACAGCCCAGGCCCTGTCCAAGTCTTCCTACATGGATGCAAAACCCATAAAAGACAGATTGCACAGTGACTCAAACTATATTAAAGCATCTGACAGCACTTTGCCATCAATTCAGAATCCAATGCTCCCTGTTTCAATAGAGGATATGTAAATCCATGTACATCAGTTTGCACCAGACTCATTTCAAGAACAGCAGGACTTGTTTTTTCTTTTCTTGTGTGAAGTTCAGTCTCCTTACTACAGATTTCATTAATTACTCAATTTCTTACAAGACGGTAAAAAAGGCTGTTTATTGCATAACATGGAGTTTCAATGTTGCCTCTGTTTTTGTACACATTCCTTTATACAATGACCAGTACTAATGCTTGATTCTGTTGGGTTCTGAGCATTTAGAGATAGTGAATTTGTATTCTCAGCTTCTACCATGTATTTAGCTCTCTGCTCATTTCAAAACAAAGCCCACTGATGATCAGACTTGGTGTTTGTCTCTTAAGGTATTTTCAATGTTTGGCCCCAATACAAAATATATATTTGGTTTATAAGTTACAAAAGGCTTCAATGTATCTCTGGAGATTTCAGTATTAAGAATTAAGCTTTTGAAGGTATCATTTCTGACTGGGGAAAAAAATAATTTAATTCCCTCTTCCCTGAAAGAAATTACAGACTACAACACAGATAAAGTCAAGGCCTTCATGTTTTCAAGCTCAGACTATCAGAAAAAGACGGGTCTTTCCTGGAGATGCATTTTTGCATCTTAAAGACATAAAATATACTTCATTCATTTTAAGTATTGTCATACTCTCCAAGTAATAGGCTTATCACATTCAAAAAATTCAGCATAGCAGTCCAACTGTTACCTCAGAAATATATCTTAAAAATACATCTTAGAAATACAACAGAAGCACCAGTTTTGAAAGCCATACTACCAGAAGGCTGAGTGATGTGTCATACTGGTTACCATACCGGATGCAAATCTTGTAAATAGTACCAAATATTTGGCTAAGCCTCTGCTCCAATTCACTCCTTTCTAAAACTAATACAGACGCTAAAAAAAGCAGCCTCACACACTTGTACTTCCCAGTTTCATATTTACCCTTGGCTACTGGACAAAGTGTAAAAAGGAGAGGGTAAAGGATGAACCTAGGATATTCACCTTGCTTCCTCTCTTTCCCCTCCCTCTCCTCCCCCTCCCTCACTTACCCTCCCACTCTGCTACAACTTCATATATTTTACACTACAGCTCCAGAACATTGTGCCTCCACCCCTGTGGAAAGTCAAGGTGGGGGTCCTTATCTTACCTTATCCATCTCACTTCTGGTCAAGTGGGAAAAATGTACCGTCTCAGTGCGTATGCAGTGTAGTCTTATGGCACTGGGAGGATTACATCTCTATAGCATTCTGGTACTATTCTGGCACTATTCTGGTTTGACACATTTACACGTCACCTCCTTCTCTGCCCAGTACGGTTAACACCTAGTGGGTAAGAAATTTTCCTCTCCGATTATCTTCTACACCAAGTTGGTGGTGTTGGTTCTGCTGTTACAGGACGTGTATGAACAACCATAATTCACAAACCCCATGCATTTATAGGCCCTTATACTGTACTACCCTATAATACCAACACTATATACAGTAGTCCCAACTCTTCCCTACATTTATCTTAAAACCATCAATAGACAAGACTTCTTTGATACTATTTTTCTTCCACCCTGTATTGTGTGTAATAGAAACTGGTCACCCAGAAACACTAAAAAACTGCAGACACAGCATATGTTCTCACAGTCAGTCACTCTGTTGTGGTATGTGCAAGAGAGACAAGAATCTTCACAACTGGTGACTTACAACAGCTGTCTTCTCCCTGATCCCATCTGTGTCCTCCTAGGGGAAATTACGTATTTCAATAGGTTGTTTGGATTTGGCTTTGTTTAAATTGTTCTTCACTACAAATGAGACATTCATTGCTTGTGGAGAGCTGGTCTAACCACAGTCTTGCTTTTTCCTGCTTTTTTTCTTCATACTCAAAGCTTGACACTTACTTGTGGCGGTGCATCCTTCCCTCCCCTCCCTCCACCTCACCCCTCAGGCCACACTATGATCTGACAAATGCTCATTAGGACTCAGCCTTGATGAAGCACCTGGACTAAGCCCCTCCTGAGCTTATTAGAAATCCTGTCTGTTCCCAGGAACTAGTGCTCCTGTTTTTTAAAGAACAGCCTTGAAAACTCCTTGCTTGAATAATACTAGTGAAATAACATTTTCATTATCAAACTTTCAAAGTCAGTTTCTGACCCAAATTGTGGCCAGGATGGAAAATTACTATGACTCCTATAAACAGCAGTCCAAAATGAGACCATTTGAGCTCTCCTGGACCGCAGTGGGCTGTCACCAGCAATCTCCCTCTGAGTGGTGCCTCTCAGAGACAGCCAGCTCTCACCTTCACCACACTTGAAGGACCATCACCAAACAACAACAGATCCTGGGCTGATACCCCTACTGCTCGAGGCTCAACCCTTTGTTTAGAAGATGCAAAATCATCTGACATGAGTACTTCACTGAATCCTGGGGAATTTTTCACATAAATACTTCTCTAGGTCTGTGCAAATGCGAGTGTGAATATTCTATAGCAAATGTACTACGAATGTTGCTATCCCAGATTCTTAAGCACTTCAGATTTGTAATTTAGGCCTGTGAGATATCATTGTGCTATAGTAAATTTTACACAAATCTTTTGTTAAATTGTTTAAGTTAAGTTATCGATTAAGTGCTGTTAAGTGCTGTTAAACCTTTAGGCCTAAATTGTTTGTCAAGTCTGGGGCCCAGTTTAGCAAAGAGGTCTACTCTGAACCTTGTAAATCAATGGGATGGTTTTCCTTATTCATTTTTATCCTTACCCTTTCTTACCCTTACCTTTTTCTTGCCCTACCTCCCACCCCCACAGCCTCCACATATAAATTTTTGGGTTGATTTTGGGTTTAGACTGATTTATTTTAGGTTTTAGTCTGATTTTTCTCTGTCTGCTTTAGCCATCTAGCAAACAGTAGAGCGAATCTTGCCAACAACTTTGTGACACTTCCACTTTTATATTAAACCTGTTTTTGCTAATATATTGGCCAGTGATTCTTTAAGCAACCTTAAAACACTCATTCGCAACATTACTTCTGTCTAACTGAAGCAAAAATGGAAGCCACGGAGTGCAGAGGGAGAAATAAAGTTTTATTAAGTGAAAAATGATAAAAAAACTATAAAAACCCCCCAATATAAATCACGGACATGACCCATTACCTCAAATCGACTATCATGTGAATTCACTTCTACATCGACATATACATGATCAGGCAAATCATCACAACTATAGTCTATAAAAGTAGCATTAGCAGTTAATTCCTTTTCTCTATGGACTGGTAAACAGAAAGCGGGCATTTCCAAGCCCTGATTAATGTCAGTAATTCAGGATATTGAAGCAATAAGAACAACATCTGGTGTTAGTAGGAGTATGCACCTCCTTAATTTCCCTTGTCTCCCTTTACCACTGCACGGGCAGTGAGGATCAGCTATAGAGATTAAATGACCGTGTCACGATACCTTTCTGTGCAAAAATGCTTTCCCTTTTAGAGATGTTGAGTAGTTCAATATACATCTGCTTTGCTGGCATTCAAACAACTTTGGAGTTAATGCCATTTAGCTTTCAACCTTCCTTATGTATATTTCTCCATTACTGTATACAAAGCTCAGTATAAATTCTGTATGGTGTAACAGGTTCAGGATACAGGTTCATGAGGTGTAGCAGGTATATGCAGTCACATCATCTCTCCAAGCTGAGGTGAAAGAGATATTCAAGCTCGGTTTCTAGTAGCTGATTCTCATAGAAGGTAGACTCAGTCCAGCACTTTTAACAAACCATGTGCACTACGCATATTCACATACGTAGTATAACACATTAGACCTTTAATTATATCTCATCCCCTCCTCTCTCTGCCAAAATGAGTGTTTACATTATTCTCAGTGAAATAGGATGTAAAGTCTTTACCATTTCTCCAAATCATTCCCACTTGTCTATACCACGTACAACTCAGTAGTAAATATTGTTAACCTGTCCAAATCTGCCCTACTATTTCTAATCTCCCTTTTCTCTGTTTTTATTTGTTTTTTTCTGCTTGACATTGCCCAAAGCCTGCATGCCAAACTCTGTAGGGCAGGAGCTGTTTCGGTCTATTTCCAATCAGGATCCTTAGAAAATATCAAAATACAAAACAAAGAGCATCTAAATAAAAATAAGAGATTGCAAATACTAATATATTTATTGAAGGGCCTCAAGAAGTATGTAAGTAAAACTATTATCATTCTACATTACTGAAAATTGTGAAATAAAAATGTTTTTCATTGTGCTTTGTGCCATGTGGTAAGCCCTAAGCAGAATGAAACTTCTGCTCCCTGTGCAGGTTGCTGAGGAAACTCTCTAGGACAGTATTTAGCATTGGGATTAACAGCATCCTAATCACTGTAAAAACTTCTACATTCTTCTCAAATGTCAGAGCTGGCCTCTTATGAACAATATTTTCCAAAATATTATTTAGTTTTATTAGTTAGCAAAATTTCCTGTTTTCTGCAACATCTTCTTTCACCAGAATTGTTATAATACTGCATTAAAGTCACAGTCCTCAGTCCATGGTTGAGCAGCTTTTGAGCCTATGTCAAGATTATTATAATGCCTTTTGGTATTTATCTTGGTAGGTTTTGCTGGCATCAGGTACCGAAGGTTCTTCCAAAATCTGGAATTCACAGGAAGAGATTTATCCTTTTTCCACTTCACAACCCTCTTTGATGGTAAAAGAGACAGTGATTCTGGCAAGAAACTGTAGTCACTTACAGGCATATATTCAATTAATATGATTTTAGTTTTTCTTTCAACTAGGGCTTTATGCAGTCCACTCTCAAGTTCGTATATGGCTCTGTCAGAAACATAGTTCTGGCTCAGTATAATGATTAATCTTCGGCTTTTATCAATGAATGAATGGATATCATCAACAACTGCTGCAAATTAAAGATAAATATGTTGTTAAATTAAATTGAAAGAATAGACACTGAAACGACTTTTTTTTAATATTCACATATGTACCAAAAATGTTCCTTTTATAAAGTGATAGCATGTAAGCATCCTGTTCTTATGAAGTGATTAATATATATTACAGATTAAGAGTCTGTGAAAATGAACGCAGGTGTGGCCAAAACTTTCTTTAGACCAGACAAAACCTTTTTATAATCGCCATCTACTCTAGACAGCTGTTTGGCAGGAGTCACATGGACAGAAGGTGACAGCAAAATTTAACTTTCTCCCATCCAGACATCTCTGCTCTTTCATCATAGATATCACTGGAGTGATTTCACAGAAAGCCACCAACAGCAACCTCTCTCCAAATATCCAATACTCTTCAGGTTACACCTTTCTTTATGACACCAAACACCCAAATCTATTGCCAGTAATCCAAGGTTGGTAAGACTGGCATGTAATGGCAGAATGAATTCCAACTGTGTTTTATATTGACAACTTTTGGCATGAAAAGTGATGAATGAAAGCAAATGGCGATACCCTTTAAACACCAGATGCAATTTTCATGCACAGTTTCCAGTGCTTGTTTCAACACCATGGAACAAAGTCTACAAGGACCAAAGATCTAGAAAACATGCCTTGTAGGGAAAGGCAAAGCAAACTGCAGAAGTACCCTGAAGAAGAGAAAACTGTGGGGAAAAGGAGACTGACAAGGGTATTGAAACACCAAAGGCTCCTGTAAATAGAAGGAAACATTCCATTTTCCATGTTAACAATGGATCAGACCAGAAAAAAGGATATAAGCTAAAACTATTGAAGGAATCAGAATGCACACTTCAGTAAACCTTTTTTTAACACTTAAAGAGAAATAATAAGTAAAAACAAAAAAAAAAGGCTTGGGAGAGCTGTGGCACTTCTCAGGTTAGAAAAATATGTCAGGAATGGATACAAGGAGACAAGATCCTGCCTAGTGAAGGAGGCTGACTGAACTTATTGTTCCATGGTTTTAATAATGAAATCCTAATCCTCAACTAGATCTTTGGACTAAATAGAAACTCCTAGTATCTTTTTTCCAAGCATCTGCAAAAGGCCGATGTCAGATCTATCCATAGGGCATGTAGAGAAACAAAATTCCATGTTCTCATTTCTATTTTATGGCACCCACTACATTCAGAAAATGGTTTCAACCACTACACTGAAGATACAGTAAACATACAAGTTACCTAAGAGTAACTAGTACCAGAGATACCAGCTGCGCTGTGCAGTAATGTGAGTACATTCAATGGCCCTCAGCAAAACCAGTGCAAAAGCACTATTATCGTGAAATACCTGACATCTTCTGTGTTCTCAACTTCCTCCATGCTATCTTTTTCATCTTTTCATCTTGGCTCCTTGTAATTAAAGATACATATGTCTGTGTCTCTATGTGTGTAAGTGTATATGAATTAATAAATATATCTATAAAATATGTAAAATGTGTGCAAGCAAACTTTGCATGCCTACAGTCTAAATTAAATGGAAAATGTATCCTTTCAATGCACAACACATTTGACACAATTCCTTCTAATTACAGACTTCTACCCTTGTGTCAAAATGATGAGTCTATTTAATGACAAGAATATTCAATACACTTACCTCCTCCAGGGAATACATCCCTCTCAAATATACATAACTTGTACCCAAAGTTTTTTTCTAATATCATGGGTAATATCTTCAAGGCAAATTCTCTCTCCTCTTCAATTGGAGAAACACAGTCTTTCAGGTAAGACACAAATGCATCATATTCTTTTCCATCTGAAAACAAATCAACAATTGTTGTCTTGTTAGCAACCACCAGAAATCCAGTGTCTGATCCATCATTCTGGTTTTCCAAATTATTGTCTCAGTAACAAAGCATCTAGAAACTCCTGCTCTTGCTTTTGATACCCTGAACAGTCTTCAAACACTCTTCATCAGATTCAAAAGAAGTCCTGAATCAATTTAAATTTGATACAAAAGATTCTGATTGCATTTGGCAAATACTTGAAAATAACATTTCCCTTCCACAGTAAAGTGTTTTGAAATAAAATTCGATTAATTTAACCAGTTAAAGCCACATTTGTGATGATGAAGAAATGAAGGGAAGCAAAAAATGTATCTGTAACCTGATAAAATTGTTATTTAAGAGATATTGTGGATTTCCACATTTATTTTACTTTTTGTCTGAGAGTATCAAGTAATTCTGTAGAATGGGTACTAGCAAAATAAAATAAATCAGTTACTCTTATAACTAAAAGTATAACTAAAAGTTATATGAGTATACCATGTCAGGTCATGCTTTGGGCAGTAATTTACAAACACAAAATCAAAGACCAGTTCAGAGGCCAGGTCTACCACACTGAGCAATCACGAACCTTTCCGCAGAACAACTATCTGGATCAATACAGCAGCACACATGGCTTTGCATCTTAAATTGTATTTCTTTGCTTCCCTTTCTGAATGCCTTACTGCATGCAGTTCATCAGAGAGAGCACAAAGTAAAGCCAGTGAAACCCTACAACTGCAAGAGCTCTAGGAATAGGAAATCCATTGCCTATTATCCAACAGGCAGCTCCTCCAGGACAGCCTGGTCCAGGTTCTCAGAGATCCTCCCTGTAAGCCGGAGTACGCAGTGACAGCTAACATCAACAAACAGATAAATAACACCAGTAGGCATAAATTATATCCACCCATAACTGACAAATCTCAAGCATTAGAGACCAAGGAAGATTAGGAAAATCAAGTCCATACATACAGCAAGTTTTTTCACCACAATTTTCAGAAAAATTATTCCCCAAATTGGGTAACTGTCAGGCTTGCTTGCTGTGAAGACCACAGTGATGCTGCCTGGTAAGATCCTGCTCTCCTTAACTGTATGTAATGACAAACCTATAAACATCACAATGGCCTCTGCAGTCAAGGAACCATTTTAACCTTCACCTCACTGAAGGGCAACAGTGAGGAGAAAACAAATTTCTGTCAGTCTGCCTGGCTGACAACTCCAGAGTGCTCATCCTCTTCACAGATAGATAACTGCAAACTTCTCCACCTTTGTATACTTTTGTGATGAAGAATATGGCAGAACAGAGCTCATCTGAACAGCATCTAACCATGTCCCTTCCACTACCTGCTCCAGAGGCAGCTTTTTCACTGTTATTGCCACAGCTGTATAACAAACACACTTTAGCATCTGACCATCAAGTTCTCTTTTACATATTCTTTGCTGTTTCTACTCACAAAACTCCTGGATTTAAGATTAATTTTTTGTCTTCCTCAAAGATGATTGTTTTATAAAGCCTACCAGAAACTATTTTTTAATCAATACACTTATTTCAATGTCAACATTAACAAGGTCATACCTCCAGCAGTGTCATCTCTTCTGCATATATTCCTGTAAAATAGAACTAAGTCAACCCTAAACATCACACAAACAAACACTGCAGCTATAGCAACAAATGGAAATAGTACAGCGAGGACCATTCCAGTTGTAAATACGTGCACAGGCAGATCTTGGGTGTTCCCTGTAAAACAGAAACCCATGAAATTATAGCCTTATCAAAGAGTATTATATGACAAAATTACTGTATCCAATACTGACGGCACCTTAAAATCACCTCAAAAAATTACAATGTTGATGAGAATCCTTTCCTGCTAATAATTCAAGCACATACGCATGCCACTTGTCCTGAGATGGAGAAAAACTACAGAATTACTCTAAAAACTGGAGAAACAGTCTTGCACGCATTCACACACATAAATGAAGTGTATGTGAGATCAAGACTGACACTACAAATCCTCATAGATGTACAGTATCCCAAACTGGTGGTCACCCACTTTTGTGATGAGTTTTCTCCAGGTTCTTTATTATGTCCTGTTATTATCTACCTTTTACCCCCTCTCAGTCCATGCATAATAGTCCTTTATGCCCCCTTTAATCTCTTTGGCCAATTTTTTTTTCTTGTCTCTAATCTCTTTCAGGCTTTTCTTTTTCTTAATTATTGTTATTATGTTATCTTTGGGGTTTTTTTTAGTTTCAAACATAGAATTTTAACACTTGACTTTGTGAAGTTTTGATGAAGGCACTGTTAAGTCATGCTCATTGTAGTCTGTATTACTTCTGCTTTATTATATGCATCATTTTTTGACAAGTCTATTTTCACATATTTTCCTTCCAGTAAAACTTGGAAAGGCCTGATAGAGATAGAAAACAAGAAGAGAATGCCCACTTGTGATGAATCTCCAGGTTATCTGGACTATAAATGTGAAGTCCTACTACACGGTAGAGGTTAGCTTTCCATAGCTAGAAGTATAGAATTCCTGACAAGAGAGAAACCATTGACCAGAATGTTTCAGGCATTATCAGCAATATAAAAGATTGACCTTTCCGGGTGCGGGAGGGTCGGGGGTGGGGGAAAGGGGGAACACCAAAAAACCCAACAAAAACCAACACACGCAAAAACCCAACGAAAACCTCGGATTTTAATTTTAAGAAGAGATGCTTAATAAACAAAGTGTTCCAAACAGAAGACTGAGGGCTGCACCAAGTTTGGGTATTTAATTCCTGTGATCTCACCAATCTGATGAGTAGTAGAGGACAGGGGAATGCTTTTTCATGGGATCTGAACAACATGCTGCCCAGGGATCTGTCCCCAGTTGTGTCCACAGCAGCAGCAGTTAGACTATGGAGCCCAGACACAGTTGCTCTAGCAACTCCTTCTGCCCATTTCAGAGCAGGAGGAATCACCCAGGGTGTTGTTAGGTCCAGTACAAGATGGACCGGGGACTTTACAAGCAGACAGACATATTTGGAGAGATGTTCTGAAATGAGTACCCTGCCCTCAGGATTGAGAAGGCTGCCATGATTAATAATTAAGTATGAGAAGTATAGATCATGCCATACCTTTCTTCAGTTTTACTATTTTTATTTGTGTGCTTTCATCAGCTTGCAACATGCAGGTGAAATTATGATGCATGTCCTCATCTGTTACTTTTTTAATCCGTAGTAGCCTTGTGACATAAAACTTGTTTCCCAACCTGCAAGGAGGAATGCTGTTAGCAACACTATCTGTACAGAAATCTACAACCACCAGAGAGGTAGATTTAGAGGAAAGGGTTCTAAAAGAAACCCTCAGGCTGAAGTTTTACTGAATTTGCAGTTGCACAAAGTGCAGGACATTATCCCATATAAAGTACAGCATTTTCAGGAAACCTACTGTAATTTTTTGAACTCTTCTTCACATATTGAAGGTTCATTCTCAGGGATACCTGTGCATTGTTCTGGAAATGTTTGATTAATTAACCAGTATAGGCTGGCATCTTCTTGCATATAATAACCCAAGAAACCTGTGCAATTGAGTATCTCTTCTTTACCTAAAAAAAAAAAGTATATAATGAGAAGATCTAGTCAGAATTAGTATTCATGTTCACAGTGCAGTAAAATGTCAGCTTTCCAGTCAACATATCCCATGAGCTGTGCTCTCTTCTGGATTTCATGGCCCCTGCTCAATGTTTTATAAGTGTACTGTTGCACCCTATTGCAGAGTGACAGGCATCAATTGCTTTCTCTCAGATAAATCATCATAGCCAGCTGAGTTTAAATATCCCAGAGTATTTCAGGCTTCAGAGAACTAAAGGGAGTTGGACTTGATGATCCTTGCGGGTCCCTCCCAACTCAAGATATTCTAAGATTCTATGAACTAGATTGTGTTTTGCAAGCAGAGAACAGGAGAGGACAACATATCACCAGTGCTCCAGGGCCAGGTAAAAGTAACTAACTAGTAAGAAGAATTACAACCAATTGATTGCGATAAATAAACTACCTATGACTACTCAATAAAGCCAAAGCCCCTGCTGAACTCTCGCAGAACAAGTTCCCATCCCACACCTGGAATTCCTGAATATGTGAACAAGTCATTTACTCAGTCAGTTACTTGCCCCATTTCAAAGCACTAACTGGAAGCGACAGGAACCACTCCATGAAGTTCAGTTATTTTTAAGAAAGTTCGAAACCAAAAGGACAACTGTACACTTGGAAAAATAAAGGCAGAAGACTGCAGCTCTGGAGTGTGAGATTTTTTAAACACTGCCATGGGAAGCCTAACCTGACGTTAGCTGCAACTTTGCACCACCATTTCTAGGCCATGCCAGCATCATTTCCAGAGAACACATCCAGAATGCCCTTCATTAAGCCTAAAGCGCATGTTAGTCCTTGTTCAGGCCATATACACAAATGCTTTCCAGTAAGAGAGGCCTGCCCAGCAATTCTCTAAGGGCACTTATAAGCTGACCTCTCAAGATTTATCAGAGTTGACAGTTACAGAATCTTCAAAGCAGGATCCAGATGAAAATCTGGCCATCTTAGATTCAGACCTTAGAAATCCAAATCACATTTGCACAGACTGAAACACAGACCTAACCTTCTAGTATCCTCTACCTTGCAACCCTAGCTTTTGCAGCTATTTTGGGGGAGATTATAGAACACCATCTAGACAATGACAGGTTTTAAACATCATGGACCTAGCTCATTGAGAATTCCCTCCACTCTCCACCATGTCATCTGTCTCATGACTCAGCAGGTAGTTCAATGACCTTATGAAATGATCTTATCAAGGCAGATAAGGGATGGTAGTTCATAATCAATAGATGCTGAACCCTGCTAACTTCTAAGTGTTGGGACAAGCACAGTAACAAGGAAGAAATGTGCAGGAAGTGTGTACTGGGAGGTTGGAAGTCATGAGGCATCATAGGATTGGGGTACTGCCATTGGAAAAAGGACCTATCAAGCAACATTTGTAAGAAGGAAGGAAAATTAGCATCAGAGGTCCTAGATGAGCAAATGAGATACAGGTATGAGCCACAGAGGAGGTAACACGTGGAAAGGAAGGATTAGGTAACCAGATGGGAGAAGCCCTCAGGCACAGGAGAGGAAAAAGACAGGTAAATTTCTGTTTTCTAAAATTAATTACAACCTCAAACACAAAATCCTGTATCCTGTCCAAGATTGTGTGAAGCCTGCAGATCATGTTATCTAACCTACTCCCACCTAGAAGAACAGGTAAGGTCTCTTGACAAATTCTTTGAAGTAGTGACAGATCTTCATGCCCACATTACCAGGACTGTCACCTCCTCATACTTCTCAATTCCCTGAAGAATAACATCCTCAACTGCGTCAGGTAGCAAGGAGATTTCTCATTATTGCTGTTCACTGAAAAAACTATACATCTTTTACACATTGCTTCACAGGGTTTGCTATCTACAAAAGAAAGCCACGGAGAGATGGTTTATCACCACCACCACTTTCTCTTGCTGGTCATAGCAGCAACCTCAGTTTCTGCCTCTGTAGAAGGTACATTTAGTGTACTGGTATATCAATCATGGAATACACTAGACAAAACATAACCCGGTGTGAAGTTAGATGAGATACAGGAGGGTGCACAGACAATTCTTAGTTGATTACACTTAACCAGACCATCAACCATAAAGAGATCAGAACAAAAGCATATACGTGCAGTAGCTACCGCAAAGACTTTTGTACTAATTTCATACCTATTTCTGTTTCAATTTCTTCATGGTGTCCAATTATCTCCAAAGTTACAGCCTCTGGTGCATCTAAAATAGAAACATTGCTATTGAAGTAATAGCTCACAAAGTTCCACAGTATAAATTACATACTTGCTCTATTTCTAAAACTAATAGCATACATTCCATTTAATTCAAAGAACAATATCTGGACTCTGGTGTTACTAAGTAGATTAAAACACAGTATGACTTGTTGAATTTTTTCACATACATATATATACAGTGCACAATTTAAAATGGTTGGAAAGGCTCTTCTGCAAAACTCTTAGTAAGTTTGTATGACTTACAGCAGCTATTTTGAAAAAAAAAAAAACTGCAGGAAAAACATACCAAATACATCTTCCAAAATAGGTAATATGTCATCTTAACTTCTGCTTTTTTACTTTTCAAATTATTGTGAAATAGTTCAGATTACCAGATTTGTTCCCCCTTGTATATATTTATCAAATGAGAACTGCAATTAAAAATCTTCATTGTAAAGTGAACCAGAAAGCATGCTTCCAAATTTTAGAAAGCTTTCTTACCTTCTTCTACTACCAGTTTAATTGTGTTTGTGCTGTGGTATATCTTTCCTTCATGACTGATTATAATTTTACAGGTATATATCCCAGAGTGCTGTGCTGTTAAGGTTCTAAAATGCAGTTCCCTCTCTGTTTCATGTTCATAATTCTTACAGTCCTGCATCAATAAAATCAGAAAACACTATTCTGTAGCACACATGCATTCAAAGCCTTGAAGAAATTAAAAACTGTTTTTGAAAGTGTCACCATCACTCTTTTCATTATCTCAATGACATGTGTCTGACCCAAAAGAGGTGGAGGCCAAATTTTCACTCATGGTCACTTAAATGAAACTTTTGACCATTTAACCCATTAGAAGCTGAGAGCACTGCAATGTCAAGTAAGCGTCTGAGTATAAAAATACTGTATTGGGAACTCAAAAGCACTCTTTTTTTCTTTTTTTTTTTTTTATTCAAAATGATGGGTTGGGTCTGTAGGTGTCATCTGCTTGTGGCTCAAAGCTGTCTAGGTTATGAGGAGGTTTCAGGTTAAAACAAAACACCTCAACAACAGGGAAAGTAACCGTCTCAGAGGGTGACAAGAATTGGACTCACATGTGTTTACTCTCCCTATTCCTGAAAAAAACTCTAATTTGTGGATTTTTTTAATTCACAGCACATGCTAAGTGAAACGTCCTGTGAAAAGGCAGGAATATCTGGTTCTGGTTAGAATTACCTTAGATCAAAAGGGAAATGAGCACTGATAGAAACTGTCCAAGGAATGGGTTTTTCTGGATGCACATTTACTAGCAGGCTCTTGCTCAAAAGGCATGTGTGACCACCCTGGTTTTATCTCAGCTTAGGGAGCAATAGGAAGACTTTGAAAATTTTCACCCAATCAAGTGCTAAAGGATATTTAGGTGCAAGGATGGCTGCTTCACCTGTCTCACACAGTATTAGGCATTAAAATATTAAGCACTGGTATACTCAGTTTAGCCATGAGAGAGGCCAGTCTAGGGTATGGTCCTTTATTGAGGAAAGCATTACAACCTGTGGCCCTATCCATCAATGGTCCCATCCTCCCAGGCCCCAAAGAACATGAAAATAGGGCCATAGCTCTTTCTTGCCAGGCTACTCCAGATGCCCATACTTAAGCAGTCAAAATCCCTTCCTGAAACTGATTCAGCGTGCAGTGAACAGGGTCTGTTACTCTAGCCAGGAGACCTGAGAGGAATAAGGAGCACTGCTCAAGGTGACGCAACAGGGTGGAAGAAGCCTGTTCAGAGTGCCTCATCCAGTGGTTGAGCACAACACCCAACAGTTACAGATGCTTACACTATTATCAGCTATGCTCTGGCAAAAGCTGGTAGAGAGAATACGGATGATTTGCCTAAAATGAACAGAACTGGATCTGTTACACACTTATAAAAAGTGTTCAGAAGCAGCAAAAGTAAAAAGTTTGCAGTAACTCTACAAGTACATGCCAACTGTAAAACTAATATCTTGATACCTCATTAAGCATCAGTATAATATCTATATCAGTAAAGTAGCAGCTGGCTAAACCAGCTGCTGTCTAAATCAGCAAACAGACATACACATCAGATCTTTTACCATTACAAACTACCAGTTTAATAACTTCTGAAAAAAGTACACTTTTCTAATAAATCTGAGAGCAGAGAAAAACTTCATTTTGTATATCTGTCTGAAGTTTTTTTCCCTAATCACCTGAGAAAGTAAAGCCTTACAGTGTTTGTAGATGCTTCAAAAAAATTGCTTGCAATTAATTTTTTCTGCAATCAGATATTTTGTTTCTATAGCCAATTATTTGAGTGAAACTGTTTCAGTAATTACCTTGTACCATGTTATGCTGTCATTTTCATTGACAGACAAATCACTGCATTTCAGTGAATGACCAGTTCCAGCATTTTTTATTTCTGTAGTTAAATGATTCTTGTTGAAACAGCTGCTTTCATTTCTTTCAAGTACATTCAAGGTCCACTCTTGAATTATAAAATTTTGTTTTCCATTGCTATGAAAAAAAATTAGCAAAATCAGTTTTAGGAGCTTTTTAAAAGAATGCAGCCTAGTGAGTTACACACAAAGTACAAAATAAAGTCTCTAATACATGTGTTAGGTAAAAAGTACATCTACAGTGACCTAATTATTTATATTCACCTTTATTACTTTTCCACCCCCAAGTAAGTGTTACTTCCTTTAACAAACAGGTTACCTAAACTAAATCAACTATCACAAAACATTTGACAATACAATTATACCTATGGAATATGGCAATATGTGCTACATCAACCCGAACAAGAATGCACCAATCTGTGGCATCATGTATAGTTACAGAAGAGCATAAAAGAATTTCAGGACCTTGAATCAGCTAAATATTTTGCGGGTATAATCTCCTATGTGTTCCTAAGGTTTAAAGCAGTAACTGAAAAATATACTTGTAAAACATATCAAAAATGAGATAGGCAACTCTACTGTTGTTCACAAAGCAACATTATTCATTGTTTGATACTCTGCAGATAGTCACTGGTATTTTGGAAATACTCCTGAACTCCGCAAGTCTCCTGAATTGCAGCATCATTTATGGATTCAAGCATGTCTGCAGAACAAGATATTTTGGAAAGCATGCATCCCTTTGTCTTTGAGTCCTGCGCTGATAAAAGATCTACTGTAGCTCACCACCCCAGGTTGACTGGAAGAGTCAGGAACTACCACTTCTACAGCAGAGTCGTCACATCCCATGCATTATCTATAAAAGATCACATGAATATGCTCCAAAAACACCTATTTTGAATATCTAGGAGCTGATCATTGTCATTCAGATATCTACTAAGTTCTATTTACATATTCCTTGAAAGAATCATATTATAGCCATGAGTTATTTCACTGTTGGATATGTCCAAATACATGACTACCAAGGGAAAGGAACCTGGAGGACTTTTGACTTAAATCTGGCAAAGTTAGAGCTTACGAGAAAGCCATATGTTGCTGTCAGTTAGTGGGTGAGATTCTGTCAGTTAGCAGGTGAGATTTCGCAATTAGTGCATAGAGCTTTTATTTGTTTACTGAACAAACAGGGCCTGACAAAGCAAAAGCAGCAATCACAGAGCACTTCCCTCCAATGTCAGTCATATCTTCATAAATATGTTTGAATCCTTCTGCCTCCAAGAAAAATAAATCGCTCCCAGAGCTACAACTAGTCAAGAATCATTTCAACGAGAAGGGCCAAGAAGATAAAGCAGTTGGAAAGGAGAAGCATCCCCAGCGAGTATACCATCTTAAACACCATTCTTGACTGACATGCCTTTTGACTGTACAAGATTCAGAAGAACTATTAGGACATAATTTATATGATGAATTTAGACCAAGTCTTGGGTTGTTTCTTTTCCACTTCTTGATCTTGCCAAACAAATGTATTTATGTATTCTGCTCACCCTCTTCCCTTTATAGCTCCTTCTCAGCCTACACAGGTTCTCTGTGTCCTCTTTACTCACTTGAGATATTCATCACTCATAATTGCAATTGACTCTCTAAACCAGAACAGTGGTTTGGTTTCCCAATCAACTATGATTAGTTGACTATGCCATCATAAACAGGAAAAGCCTTACCAAAACTTTTCCATCAGGGATGTGCTCGCATGGGTATTCACGGTGGGTGGGGTCCTCACCTATTCTTCAACATCATATTTACACATTTAAATCAGAGCTACTGATCACAGTCAGCAATGGGACCACAGTCAGTAGTCACGCTTTTACAGTGCAGTTTATATGATCTATTTTATATATTCTGTTTAGGACAAAATAATCTGTGCACCAGAAAGGCCTCTCTCTCCCTGACAGTAAAGGTATCTAAGATAAATTTAGGTGTAGACATAAACATTAATTTTTATTAATTCCACTTAGTCTGCGTGTTTCTTTAGGTATCACATTACTAATCTGAATACTGCTGGAGAGGCAAGTACAGATGTAGCCATGAAATATACATAATTTTACTATCTAGATTCAGTAGATGGAAGAAAAGGGTCAATAAAGCCACATGTTCTCCTCAGCACTGTCACTCCACAGAGGCTTTCTTCTGTGATCCAATTTGGTGAAATCATTTCAATCATTTCATGAGGATTTCACTCGAACTGAATCAAGATATTCTACCTGATGAGCCAAAATCTGGCTAGGAGCAGCTCCTTAGAAGGTGTCAAAACCATACCTATGCAAATAAAGATGAATTTGTCTTACAAAATCTGGTTTTCAGTCAAGAAAAAGATGCATTTACTTGTATTGTTTAAACTGCTAGCGTCAGAATTGTTATATTCTCTCCTGGTTTTTACTTGCTGAGATCCTTTGGTGATTCTTTGTGGGGAACAAAACAATTTCTGGCTTTTCAATTCCCTCCCACCAAACCCACCAAGAAGGAACAACAAAATCTATCATCTTGACTCAGGAGATGATACAGGGAAGTGAAACCCCTTAGAGAATATGAACCAAGTTTACTGGATACACAGACAATTCTAGGTAATTCTTCAACTGTTTCACTGCAACAAGCCAGTGTTATCTCAGTATTTCAGTCTACTGCAGAAACTGTCACTGTACCTTCCAAACTGCAATATTGTATGCTCCCACTGCTTTTAACTGTTCCAAACTTATTTAAAAAATGAGCAATATTAGGATTTTAAAATTTATCGTGTGCATCACGGATCTCTGTACTTTTGGGGTTTTTTCGGGAACGTGTAAGTTTTCTCAGTTTCAAGGTCACCAACACAAAGCAACCTGCTGACCTGCTTTTTTGTATTCTGTTTTTCTCTTTGATAACCACAGGATACAGGCTACAAAAACCCACACAAATTAGAAAGCCTCCCAAAGATCTGTGACACAGTTTTTCTGCTTACCACTCTCACTACAAGTACATACGAAATTTTTATTTTCAAGAAATGTTGCTAAATATGGACACATTCAGACTTACAGGTGATGTCCATTAATTCCTGAATTTATATTCTAAGTCTAGTATACCAACAAACACATGTGAACACATCAACACACACATATGCACACTTCAGGTTTACCTGTAAAACTTCTCGATCTTCTTTAAGTAAAAAAAAAGTGGTTAATACACCATAAAACATTGTTACATCACTTTCACCTCTTGCTTCTTGCATATTGTCAGTTGTAACATATCAGGGAAAAAAATCCCTACATTTAATTAGTTTTCAAAATGTGTCAATGTGTCTTCTTTTCTTGAAAATCTGCAGTATATGTAATTGTCACATTTTTCACTGAAACTGCCTAAACAGTTATAAGTACTCCCATATAGCTTACAAATATCTATCTCTAAATTAAGTTGTTGAAAAAAAAGAAGATAAATAAAAATATAATTTGAATACCTGCTTTCAAAAGCAAAACTTTAACTCCACTATAATTGTCATTCTTATTAAAGCTTAAATCACTTCAGTAGTTCACAACAGCCCACAATTTTTCCCTATAAATAGAGACCACTAAAAGTCCTCTGTCTCTGCAGAAAACAGTTTCTGCAATAATCTTTTGTATTTGCTGAAATTTAATTCATTTAATATGCCTGCCATTAGTGAGAACCATCAAATAAACTAAGCCCAATAACCCATTGCAATCCTATGAAAAAAATCCCCTTATGCCTACTGTTCCAGCAGTGAGACCTGTGAAGAGTTCCCACAGGAGGACTGCAAGATTCTGGCATGTGACTTCATTCTGATGCTAACAGAAAAATCTTTAGCAACAGCAAATTTTTAGATTTGATAGCTTTTTTGTGAAATGAACATATAGACAAATGATAAAGGCCATAAATAAAGCCACAACTTAAACCCCAATTCGGCCTTGTTATGTCAAGTACAGTTCCATGACAACAGACAAGCCTGTGTCAGGTATCATCGACTATTAACGCCTACAGAGCACAACTGAGCAGCACACTTCAGTTGTGCTGCTTCAGGTGAATGTCTGTACTGAATAATACAACACCTTTACACAAAATTGCACAACAAAGTAGACAAACTACCATACTCATCACCCCTAAAGATAATTCTCTTAAGATTGATTTTGGCATATATGAATAACATTTTTCTCAAGCTTTAGCGTACAATTAACAATATTTAACGTTTCATATACCATGACTTTGTACTTTTAAAAATAACATCACTAAGATGATAATAATTATGATACCTGGTAAAATAAAACATAAAATTTTCAACTTCCAAGTTAACTTGGAAGTTAACAATTGAAGTCTAGCTTAGAACAGTAAATTATCAAACTTGAGTCTGCAATGTTACTGGAAAAATGTGAATAGCATTTTTCAGTATCTGCAGTCTCATACCCTTTATGAACCAGGCAAGAATCTTAGAAATATTTCTTGAAGGATAGGACAAATCATTACATGCAAAGTAGTCTGCTTCAAATTAATCATTGCTTCAGTTGTAAATGCTGAATTACGGTTTTATTGTAAGTTAGTCATAAGAACTCCATGCAGCAAACCTTTGATTTAGTTGCCTAGTCTTTCAAGATGTTCCAGTGAAGATTACCACCAAATAGTGGAGCTTCCCCTATTTCTCTTTTTGAGTCATGATATTATACAGTGGTAAGAAATCAAATCCAGTTGTTTCATTTGTTCTTTGAATGGCTCCAAGCGTGTAAAGGTTTGCACAGAAACCAAAGTTCAGCTATGCCACTCTTTGTTTATTGCTTTACTATACAGATAGACGACTTGGCAGGTGTCATAGTGTGAGATCCATCCAACACTGCAAACAAGAACGAGTCTGGGGAAGAAGACGAGCAAATGTTTCCTTTTACTTGGCAGTGGACAGAAGGGTTGCCTATCACTCATTAAACTGTTTAGGTAATTAATCACAAGCCAGCAGAAATGCTACCCGCCTTATCAAAAGGTTTACAGAACCTTTAAAAGGCTGCAATTAGATATTTGTAAGTATAATAGGTTCACCTTGATGGTTATTGTGAAATGAAGTAGAAAATGACACAACAGTTAATGCAGTTCCCTGCACCTCGTTTGTATGGATGCCACTAGTTATACAAAGGAAGACAAAGAAATTATCTTCATCATAGACACATGCAAAGGCAAGATGTTCACCCATTGGGTTGTGTACCTACCTGTGAGTGACAGAGTAATTCCCAGAGTCACTGAGTTCAACCGGCCAAAACTCCAGAAAATTCATTTGTGAAACAATTCTGCGTGTTTCCTTTATCAGTTGCTGCTTTCCAGCATTTTCTCTGTACCAGTTTATTGTGTATGCTTCTTCCTGAAAATGTTCTTGCCTTGACTCAGGATAACAAAGGAAAAAAAATTCCCCTTCTAGCACATCAATGGAGGCACGAAGGGGACACAGCTTCTCTTCAGAGAAAGGGTAAAAAAGATACATTAGGAAGCCAAATACTTCTTTCAGAAAATTATGTTAGTCTGACTTTAAAATGATTTGCTGTGCTGCTGGTCTTTTGTAAAGTGACTTGATTTCAGCAAAGTGGTTTGGCAGCATTTGTTTATTCCAGAAATACTTACTGAAAAACTCAGTTTTCCAAGCCTTTATTCTACCTTACACAAGCAAAACCAGAAAGAAGAGGGGGGTGAAATAAAAAAGGACGTGTCCCTATCCCTATAATTCTTTCATGTGAGTTCCACAGTGTCAGAATCAAACTGGTACAAAGGGCAGAATCTGGCCTCACTATACAGTAAAGCAGCTGCCACAAATGGAAGGGGAAAGGAGAAATTCTTCATCTATGGTTTGACTTGACAAATATGGTTGAGATAAAAGCACAGATCCTATGAATTAACATTTGCATTTTCTTATCTGCTTAATTAAAACTATGTAGACTATCTACATTATGTAGATTTCTGAAAAAACTTCAGATAACTTTGGGAAAATTTCCTTCAAATGAGATTATGTATGTAAAATCTAGTCTTGAAGTCTGCCTTTCCAAAAAAATTTCCCAAATTTACTTTTTCATACAGAAGTCATAAAAATACAGAAAAGGAACCATGGTCTAGAGTTAACAGTAAAAAAATTCTCTTTCTCCTGAGGTTCTCAGAGATTATTGTTGTTTAGCAACTATTGTGATCGCACTTCTGAATGGCACAAAAAGAAACAGACTCATTCTCTTGCTTGCTGTGGCTCTTCATACAGTTATGGTCATACACAACATCATCAAGTGTCTCCAGTAGCATCCTTGATCTTTTTATTTCATAATTTTCTAAGTCTGGAGCTGGGTTGAAATTGCCAAATCAAAACTTGCCCTACTCCAAGCAACTGTCAAGAAGATGGCACATATTTTGAAGGTTCTATTACTGAATTACAGACTTTTACTTACCAGAAGCAGATCCCATGATAAACATTAAAAAAAAAATCACCGGAGTCATTTTCTTGAGTTACTTCTCACTTCTTCTTCAGAAAAATGAAACTGAATTGTTCTTGCTTGCTCAGAAAGCCTAAGAAAAACAGATTCACAATTCATCACAAGTGCAGTGAAACAGATTCCTTTGAGCATGTGAGCAGTGTAACTCTTGCTTGGTGCTGAAGAGGGCTTTCCAAATGGGAAGTTACATATTTTTATCATAATGCCTATTTTCATACATCAGGTAATGTATCTAGATTTTTCTTAGCAAGTTTATTTTAAATTCATAAAGCATTGCAGGGTTTTCTTCTTCCATTTTCTTGTTCAATAGATGCATTTTACAATCTTACAGAAGCACTCAAATTCCAAAACAGTAGATACCTACCACAGGATAGGACAGTGCTTTTTTAGCTCCAAAAAGATTATAAACTTTGCAAGGTTGGACCTTGTAGAAACAGCTAGTAGAAACTTCACTTGCCTTCAATGAGAACAGCACAATGTTTTAGATGGGGTATGCTGATGGCTAATTTTGAGCCTGTTGGAAAACAATGAGACATATAATTTTTTCTTACAATTTTGTCTGTGGAAGGAATAAGCACCAGCTGACAGCACTAACATTTCCACTGAGTGGGAGGACATGAAGCAACTCGTATTCAATTGCTTCATGTGTAGCCAACTGTGACTTCAAAGGCAAATGGAAAATATTAATAAATAAGACCAGTATAGAGCATCTTCTCTGAGGTTCCTCAGAACATCAGGTTAACTGACAACCAAAGACAGTCCTAAAACTGTGCCTCAGTTTTGCTTATAAAACAGAAAGATTAGATGCATGATCAGCTCAGTTCAACCCCTGAAGCCAAGACAGATAACCGTGCTTAGTCTCACCCAAACATGCCTGAACAAGAGACACACAGACATAGCCGAGATGTATTTCAAAGATCTGCCAAAAGAAATCTCATTAGCAATCCATTTCTTTGGTTTTAATAAGGAAACCTGTAGCAATTTGAGAAAGCACGCACTGTTGTAAGACACTGCCCTGCGATTTACAGTCAGAAACTTCCTGTGACCTAAAGAATCTGGAGGCAAGAGGCTACTGCATTTCCAGCAGTATTCCAGAATGACATTGAACTGTGTAGCTGCTCTCCCTCTGAGTCTTTCTCCTCAGTTTTTTACAAGTGTGCCACCATCCCATAAAGCACTGTAAGGAGATGAAGGAAGTGTTTCACATCTCTTTTTTCAGACAGACTGGTAGGCAGAAACAGATTTAGAAAGATAGAAGAAGTGGATTCTGAGTACTATAACAAGCAACTTTAAAGGGTCATACTGTAAACTTGCCAGGCCTGGTTTCAGTTCCCTACCACACAGATTATCAAGCTCCTACACTTCGCAAGGAAAGAAGGGACTCTCTCTTTATTTTAATTTCTTGAATTTACCTTCTTTTTCCACCCTATCCAGAAGAAACACAGCTGGTAGAGATCATAAAACTATGATCCACTACATAAAGATAAAATCATTTATCACCAGATTTTTATTTTTAAATCCAATTCTTTTTTGGTATATCACATCAGCTCACAGTGGAAGTTTTGCTGAATGCACACAGTATAATGCAAGCTACTTAGTAATAACCAGGTTTGATATTCCTGACTACTCTTAAAAGCAAAACACAGGACATTAATCTTACTCTCCCATTGCTGTTGAACCTGTTCAATTTGTCTGAAATTGTTCTACTGTAGGCTAAAAGTATTTACATTTGAGCCATACAGTTTGCAGTACTCTTCAATAAAAAGCTCAGGGAGGGAAGGGGAAAGAGACGAAAAAAAAATAAATGTTTTTGGTGAAAGTCAGCTAATATAAAGAGAATCTTTGAGGAACGGAATAAGATTTTTTTAATTTTCAGAAAAAAATGGAGAGTTATTTTAAAGTAAAACAAAGATTCTATGCCTAATAAAGGAGTAAAGAAAATACTCAATGGGCAAAATGCTAAGGCAATAGTAGGGAATTACAGTTTCAATGTAAATTTATTCAATCACCAATTATCTATAAGGCTCAAAGTGACAATAGCTTTAAGCTTGCTTTTTGAGTTTTATACATGTTTAAAAACACTGATGGAGTTTTAATAATAAAAATGGTTCTTAAAAATATTTTTGCCATTGTGAAGCCAACAAAAACTTTAAACAAAATGAAGGTTTAAGTTCTGTAAAGTACATTAATGATATCTCATTAAGTAGACAATTCTGCGTCTTTAAGCGTCATCACAATTATTCCTCATTTTTATAGAATCACCAGAAAATTTTGGAATGAAAGGGCAATGATACATTGAAGTGGCTGATCCTCAATTTTGGTCAAGTAACTCATTTTGGTCAACACTTTTGGAAAACTCGGTTTGGTCCCAAAGGGTTGTGACTTCATTTGTCTAAATAAACAACAACAGATTCTTCTGAACAGCAGACTGTTGGAACAATCATTTTGTGGTCAAGGGAGAAAAGCACTAATATGCCCTCTGTCAGAATGGCTCCTTGTGGAATCTAAGTATTTTTAAAAATATCACCCGATAGTGCCATAATTTGCATAGCATTCATGAAGAAAACAAAAGTATTTAACAAACAGTTGTCTTAACCACACTAGGTCCAGGCACCGTTCTGCCAGGATTGCAATTTCTTGGTAAAAATGAAAATCCATCTTAATTTCAAAGAACATAAGTGAAGTTCTTTACTTACAATGCAAGTCTTGCCAGGTGGAAAGTGGATGCAGAGGTAGTCTTCCAAACTCCACAGAGTTGCAGCTTGTAACTCTCTCTTCTGAACCTCATTCATCACTGAAACAGATTGTAGGCTCTCTCAGCGAGTCAATATACAGACAGCTCAATCTGAAAAACCTCCTGAAAAAGAAGTGTTCACTTTGTGAACACTTGACTGCAGGAAGGAAAACGGAAAAGGTAGATGTGAGAAACTCATTTTTACTAGCATTAATGGAATAGTAACAACAAGTCCCTAATATTAATATTTATTCTAAATGAGGCATTTGAGGGCCGATACACAAATGTTTTAGGCACAATCTTTTGCTCTCACCGCCTACACCACCACTGACAGAGCCATCCTCCTCCAAAGCCACCCAGGTGCGAGGGACAGGGTTGCAGACAGCCCAGACACGGCAGTGCCAGTGATGGACCGTGTGTTGAAATAAGCCACTTTCAGGGCTAAATTACGACAGCTCTGTAATAACGAAAAAGTGTATCATGGCCCCGAAGAGAAGTGTCCCAGCCGAGTGGCTTGGGGATGCGCGGCGCAGTGTCGCAGACAAGGGAAGGGCTGCAGGGTCGGGGACAGGCAGGGTAGGGGACAGGCAAAGGGCCCCGGAGAAGTCCCCGAACAGCGGGTGCCGGCCCCCGCACTCCCGCAGAGATGCGCTTCGGGGCAGGCTCTCGGCTTCTCCGAAAGAGGAGAGAAGGAGCCGCCCACGCCCAACCCTCGCCTTGCCCAGCCCGCCTGCCCTCCCCCGTTCTCCCCTGCCCCTCCCCGGCCGCCCCGCTGCCCGGGCCCTTCCTGCCGGACGAGGTGTCCGGCGGGCGCCGCCCGTTCCTGCGCGGGGTGCGGGGTCCGCGGTCCCTGGTCCAGGAGGGCGCCGCGGGGCCGCTTCCCCGTTTCGCTGGCGGGAGCGGGACCCGGCGCAGGGGCCAGGCAGCAGCGCGAAGCAGTGCCAGGATTACAGAGGGCACTGGGCTGTCACCCGGCCTGGGCGAAACCCAGCGGTGCGCCCCGCGAGCAGAGGGAGAGATGATCAATTTTTTTAGGGGACGGTGGGGGGAGGGAGGGGGCCTTCGCTCTCACAACCTCCCAGGGATAGAAAAGGCGTAAGGAGGTGATACCTTCCGTTGTCTTCAGCAGAAACGCCTCTTCCTCCGCTTTTGTGCTGAACGCCCGTTGTAGGACTCTTTTCCAAGAAATGTGGTGGAGATAGGATGGAAGCTTAGGAACGAGTATATTAGGTTAAGTATACCACCTTTTATCTCTGCTACAACTTCCTCCCCACCGCTCTGGCTGGTTTGAGAAATGAGGACGTGGAAAGAGCTAAAACTGAAAGGGTGATATTCTGCAAGGACCACAAACGACACCCACACCCACACACACAAAAAACCCCAAAAACAAACAACAACAACAAAAGAACCACACCCTCACCCCCAAAAAAATTACAAAATAGGGTCTACAGGAAAAAAGACAAGACAAAAGACATGATCCTACGATATTTTTATAACAAATGTCCCCATGTTAGTGCTATTTTTTTCTGCGTTACCATCCCCTTCAGAGGGAGAGTAAAGTTTCAAGACATGAAACATTTTATAGCTCCATTACTGCAAAGGGAGTGTATGTATTCACTTCTAAAGAAGCTCTCATGCCAGTAGTTGAGCTGGCTTTTTAGCCAAATGTTGATATATTGGAATGATAGTTCCATGAGGAGTTTCTGAGTTTCTGGTGTTCCTGAGTAGATGAATGCTTGCCACTGTTAATTACAGAGTTTATGTGGTAAGTACTTTTCAATGATTCACTATACTTCTAAATAAAGTTACTTTGATAACAGCAGGAAAAAATAATTTCCTCAGGAGTTACCCAGGACAACTGTGAATGCAGAAGTTCCCAATTGCAACAGGAGATGTCACTATAAAGGTAAAAGAAGCAGGTTACACTAAAAAGAAGGAAGAGATTACACACAGCTGGCTTTCTTGCATATTTTCACTGCTGAGGTGAAGCAAAGAAACCCTGGGGAGTTTGACTGTCTCACCTCATTTCTTTTCCTCATCACAGATTGAAAAAATACGTATATAACAACCAGACCTTTAGATAATGTAAATTAGCACAGCTCTAGGAAAGTCAGCTAAGAATCTAACTCACTATAACTACTTTAAAATTTTGTACAAGATACTTTGTGGTATTTTTGGTTTTAGGACTTAGTACTTGATTTTAAAACCTAAAGCATACCATAAAAATTACATTACGGTCCCAAAGCTATTTAGCACCCAACAAACAAAATGATGAAGTAAAATGTCATCAGCTTTTTACTTCACAAACTAAGTCTTGTTAGTGACTGTTTGGAAACTTTTTTTTTAACTCACTCTTTTGTAGCAGTATTTTCCATGAGCTGTTCTCACATTCTTTTGCTTTCATATCCCTTTGAAATACTCTCAAATTTCTGAACTTTCATCAGCACCAGAAAGTGCTGTGTTCAATTGGTCCTTTCAACTAATGTCATAGCTAGCTTTGTGGTATGTAAATGTATATGAAAGGAAAATAAACTTTACACTTTTTAGTCCTGAGACTTATACAGTTTTAATGAAGTCATAGTCTCATAATAGAGAAGTAACTTGACTAAAACTAGCTACAGCTCAAATTTTCAGTTTGAAAATGCCACAACAAAAATGAAAGTTTGCACTAATATTGGAAAACAGATTTTTGTATGAAGATCTGACCACCTGACCAACCAGCTAGGGAAGACAAGTTACTTCTCACAGTTTTTCACATCTTCCTTTTCATCCAACATACACTATGCTGAGGTACTAACTGAAAAACCTAAATTGTGAAACTATTTTCATCATATATTGCAACACATCCAACTCTTGCAAACACAGTCTAAACCTGTTTGCTTTTAGCTGGCAATAGTCCATTTAAATCTAATTCTTTTATCGCTATATACCAGTTATATTAATTCTTAATAGAGGCTAAGTTATATTCAATAGTTTTTTCCATCATTATCTGTCCTTGATGTCAAAAAGCAGGTTACAGACTGATAATGTGTCTGTTAGAGCCTCAAATGTTTCTTAGAAATTTTAAAGTACACAAATTGAAATTTTCAAACTTTCTTCTGCATTACAGCATCACAGAATAATTCAGGTTGGAAGGGGCCTCTGGAGGTCCTTGGATCCAGCCACTCGTCAAAGCACTTACAACTGAGATCCAAACACTTAGAAGGACGGAGATTTCACAGCCTTTCTGGGCACATGTTCCGGCATTTGACCATGCATATGGTGACTTTTTTTTCCTAATATGTAATATAAATTTCCCATGTTCTTATTAGTGCCAGTTACTTTTTTGTCCCATCTCTGTGCTTCTTTAAGAAGAGTCTGGCTCTATACGTTCTCTTTGTCTTTATTGGATTCTTGTAGATAGAAATAGGGCCTCTTATCCTCTCCCTGTATGACCTGTGCTCTTGGTGGTCTTTCCCTGGACTCCACTATGTCATTGCCTCACTTGTACTGGGTTTATTCCATCCCAGATGCAGCTCTTTGCACATGCCTTGGATTGAACCTTGTAAGTTTCCCATCAGACCATTTCTTCAGCCTCTTGCTGTCTAAAACAGCAGTCCTCTGCTCCAATGGGTCAACTATCCCTCCCCAGCTTGATTTTCTGTCTGAAAATCCATTGCTTGTGCAGTCTGTCCCATTGTCAAGGTCATCAATAACGATGCTGAACAGTATTGGTGCTGATATCAGTCCCTGAGGGATGCCACTGGTGATGTGCTGTGAGCTGAGGTTTGTATGTTGGTCCCCCATGGACTTTGCTCCCACTGTTTTTCCACTCACATTTGTAGACTTATCCGTATGTCATTAACAGAGATTGTACAAAGGACCTTGCTCAAAACAAGGTATGCAGCATCCTGTGTTCTCCCACTGTCCACAGCACAGCTGGATATGCGTGATATGTTTCTAAAACAATAGCTGTAGTTTTTCAACCCTTTAAGGAGTCAGGAACATAAAGTTGTATATTCAATAGTATATACTATCAATTTTACATATCATCTTCCAAACGTACTTTGTCCAATGCTGTAAGAAATTAATGTTGCATACACTACAAATAATAGCTTGCTACAAAAACTTCCAAAAACTTCTAAGAATTCCTTTGAGTGGTCAGTCTTTTGCACTTCACAACCGTGTGAACTGGTTGTGAAGCTGTGTAGGAACATCAAATCTCAACACTATAGGAAACCCCAAGACCAAACCATTTAATATGTTTATGCAAAGGGCTGGTGTATGTTAAATGCATATGTGGTGAGAGCAGTACATTCCACATGCTGTCTGAAGTTATTCTGTTTCATAGTAGCAAAAGTTGGTTTTCATACTTTGGAAATCACCAGAGGCTTTGCCACTAACATCAGTGTGAGATAAGTTACTGCTTATTCCTGTCCCTTCTTTATTTCTTTATTGCCAGCAATTCAGTGTATACTTTTTCATATATGAAGTATCCACAGACAAGGTTTTACAACTGAGGACATACAACTCTGTATGACTGTGGTTATATGGCAAAGAGACACTTCTAGTTCCTTTAAAATATGTTATTTTAAGAAAGTCAGCATTGTATTCTTAATGCCAGATTCTGAGCTGTGGTTTACAAGTTATGCTGCATGGGTTTCAGGAGATTACAGCAGTATGCACACCCTGAAAAAATTCCCTGTGTTTAATTCTAAAGTTGATTGACTAATTTCTAGCTGGTCAGAATCTGTGAGTGCCTGTTCACCCACGAGATGGCAGGATGACTGTTCTATTAAGAAGTTAGAGCAAATCTGCACTCTGGAGTCCCTTGAGGTGCCAAAACCAGGGAAGCACAGGTCAGAAATTAAAGGGCATTACATCTCTATGTGGACAGTATAGTTCAGCAACAAAATTGCCTCGGTTCTCTTTATTTAAGCTTAAAACATCCAAACTGAATCATCTTTAAGCTTTGAATGTTTATCCCTATGTTATTATTTTTATGGTTATTTATTTTATGTTGAAAGCAGAGATTTTTTTTGCACAGGGCAGACTGTCATTCTGTTATTCCACAAGGGCAGACTGCTTAGTGTAAAATAGCCAATTTTAATTAAAAACATGGTTTTTTAAATTTAGATTCTTTGTAAGTTGCATTTCACAAAATCACAGAATGAGGATGGAAGGGGCCTCTGGAGGTTATCTAGCCTACCTCCCTTGCTCAAAATTGCGCTGCGTCCAGGCAATTTTTGAGTTTCTCCAAGGCTGGAGACTCCACAACTTCCCTGGGCAACCTTTGCCAGTGCTGGGTCACCCTCACCACCCTCATCATAAAAAAACCTGTTTTCTGATGTTCAGCGGGAACCTCCTGTTTTCAAATTTGTGCCCATTGCCCCTGGTCCTGTCACTGGACATCACTGAGAAGAGCCTGACTCCCTCTTCTTCATAGCCTCCCTTCAGATGAAAGACTTCTCTTCACCAGGCTGAAGAGTCCCAGCTCTCTCCACTTTTCTTCATAGGAGAAATGCTCCAATCCCTTCACCAACTTCATGGTCCTTTGTTGTACTCTCTCCAGTATGTCCATGTCTCTCTTCTACTGAGGAGCTAAGAACAGAACACAGGACTACAGATGTGGCCTCAGCACTGCTGAAATTGTAATGATGCTGTAAAAATATTCCACAGTTCTTTTCATGCTTTCTCTTTGACACTACAAATGTGATAACATCTGTAGAAAGACGTCCATTTTAATGCATAGCTCAGGTTTCTTTACTAACCATCAAGGCATACCAAAAAATCTGTGACAACTGCAGCATTTTTTAGTCACTATTATGGTCACATACTCACCCCCTGGTTCTGTACATGTTCTTTGCCACTCCCTGTATTTGCCCCTTTTCTTTCTGTCAAGGCCATGCTGTTCACTGCTGGCATACCACATTAAGAGTTGTCAGGGTTGGCTTGATTACTTTCCTGGTTTTTTTTCTTGGTTGACCTTGAAACTTGATACAAAAGTAGTGTCAGTACAAGAGCCATTTAGTGAGTTTGTTTTTCACCACCATAACTGTGTCTGGCTAACAGAAGTCAATGAGACAGCAGTATGTTTCAGAGTAATTTGATTCATTTCTGATACCATGCACTTCCTCATTGTACCTTCTCCTGATCCCTTTCCAACTTCAAAATTGATCCTAGACTTCTTGTTTCCAAGATACTCGCTTATCATCTTTTCTTGTTCATCAGATACCCAGGACTCAGACTGTATTAAAAACTGATCCTGTAATAATCTTGGAAGTGAATGTTCAGTCTTACTCAGAAGCTTATGTGAAAAATCTTCATAATGTATAGCAACAGGCTTTCCTGCTTTTACACATGCCTTAGTATTCTTTCTGTGGGAAGAAATGGTACTGTAGGAATAAACCAAGTCTCCTACACCATCACGAATCCTTTTTGTGGAGCTTCCGCAGAGACAGTAAGGTTTGTCCAGAGGGGATCTTTAGGAACAGGACCCCACACTGCACACAATCTAACGAGGCAATAACAAAATGCAACATTAGATGCTTTATAGCTGTGGTGAAGTGAGCAATGACAGAACAGTTGAAAATATAACTCATCAGTGAAAAACTGTTAATTTGCCATAGATCTTTTATTATAATGTTGAAAAATATCTGTAGATTTATTGTATGCACATTTTTTCTACTCCAAATAGCTATCCATAAGTCTGAAGATCTACATTCAGTAAAAACTTACAGTAAAAGGAAAGAACTTGCCTGTTCTGTAATCCTGGACTTGGTAACAATAGGTGTTCTGCATCAAATTTTCACTTTTTAAGTTTGTTCTGTAGCAAGTCTGAAGCTGAAAACAAAGCTTTCTTTGACAGTAAGAAATTTCCTGGTTTTAAAAAGCTAAAAAGATTAAAGTTTGCAGGGATATCTTTACTGGAACACATTTTATTCATATTCCCATGAACTAGGAGGAGATTTGCTCTATCTTTGAATCTGAGGGTATTCCCTATCAGAAGAAATTATAACTAGGCATGAGTTCAGGGGGGAAAAAAAGTGGATATTTCTTGTTATTAAAAATACAGTCTATTTTCTCAGTACCTTAAAGGAATGCTATCAATGTCCAAAACACCACCCTAAATTTTAAAATGTTATTTCCATATGGAGATCATAGAATCACAGAGTCACAGAATATGTTGAATTGGAAGGGACCCACAAGCATGATCGAATTCAAATCCTGACCCTGCACAGGACCATCCCCAAGAGTCACATCATGTTCCCAAGAGTAATAGTAGCAGTAACAGCATCGCCTACTGTATTTGAAAGATTTAAAATTTCCCCTTTGCATGAAATTGATTTTAGTATATATATAAAATATAAAAAATTGCATATAAATATATATCAGTGTATTTATTTCGCTTAACACTGCATTTTTTTAATGCTGTATTCACATCAGTCTCAAAAGAGCCTTTAGTGAGGCATCCATACTAAGGAAAACTAAAATTTCATGGTTTGAGTATCACTATTGAATCAAAAAGAAATGTGGCAAAAAAAAGGTAACAAAAGCATAACATTATACTTTCTATTGGCATAATACACATTATACTTTCTAGTCAAATAATACATAAAGCATTTAGGTTTGATCAACTGCATTAGAAAGGTGAAGTAAACCTGGAAGGCATTCACCTATTCACAATAATAACTTTCTGTTATATGTACAACTATATATAGAAAGAATATAGGTACATTTAGCTTCATGCAAAATACTCCACACGATCTAGAATTAGTTCTTCACAGAACTCTCATACCTATAAAAACTTCTCTCAGTTCCCTAGACCTCTTCTATTGATTTACCTTATCATTATTCAATTGAAGGACTGAAAAAAGCTCAAAAAAAGTTCAAAAAACACAACCAGACTTCCAGATTGTAAAATCATGTACGTTCTGAAAGGAAAAAGAGTTGCAGGCATATAGCCCATCCTGAGAGTCCACCAGTATTTCCATAGACTGTTCACCCAGTGTTAGCTGAGTGTGAGGACTTGAGTGTCAGTGGCATATGGTACCTCACCTGTTTCCAGAACTTAGAATTGGGTGACTGTGGGTGCACAGTGTGCTGCTCTTTCCATTTGATGGTACCTTGCTGCTTAATAAGAAACCTAAGAGATTCCTGAAGCTTCCCATAAGTCCCAATTCTCTCCATTTCCAGAAGGATCACCTTTGTGTCATTTTGAATGAGGGCATTGTATAAAGCAATGTGTTGATCATAAGTAGGTTCTTTACAATTAATCAGCTGGTGTGTTAGAAGGATGATCAGCCGTCTGCTCCTCTGCATCCTCTTCTCAATTGCACTGACTGTATCTAGCAATGTACAAGAAAATTATAAGACCCTGATATTTCTTTTAGAACCCTTTTGTGTTTGGGCACTTCATTTTCATTGCTTTTTAACCAAAAATAACTTCCATCTCACTTCAGTCTGGTACAATTTATTTATTAGAAGAAGGCCTTGCCCCCTCCCCCCCCAAAAAAACAACAACCAACCAAAGGGGGAAGTGGGGGGAAGAGAAAAGCAAAACAAACAAAAAACCCCAAAACATAAAACTTTCCTTTCAAAACTTTTCTTTGGTTGTAACATTAATATTTTCACTGCTCTTAAGAATTTTTAGGAATTTTTAGTCTAATGACCGAGAGTCAAGTTCTGTAGATTTGGATTACATCAAATTTGTGCATGGTAAACAGTATCCATGTAAGGAACCATGTTCTATCAAGTTCCGTGCTTTAGAGACTGATCTTGCAATACTTACCCATGAAAACTAGTAATTTGGAGACTTTGGGGTGACTTCCTTCTAAGAGGCTTATTTACAGGCAGGGAGAGTGTTAATTCTCCTGAGTTATAGCATGCTAAGTTATACACTAATCTCTGCATCGGGTTGGTGTTCACCTTGCAGGGGTGGATCCAGACTTGCAGGGCATTTGTATGACAGCACAACTGAGGGTGTTTAGATTTCCCACTACCATGTTAGACAGACCTGATCAATGGAACTGTGACTATGATGTTGGACATGTTGAACCTAGGAAACTCAAGAGCCACCATGATATGGGAGAAAATTCTGGACCAGCTTGGAATGCTCCACATCAAGCCTCCAGGAGCTGCTTTTCTAAATGACCTGCTGGGATGTCTATGGGAGGAAGACTGCAAATAAATGCTTGTCCAGTGAAACTCTCAACTCAGTGATAAGAGATTCCTGTGGTCTGTAGAATGAAAGCAGGAGTTGATTTGGTGGGAGCATATGATGCTGGGCCAAAAGAAAGGAAGTGGGAGCTCAGATGAAGAAATTCAATGTAACAATTATTTAACAAGCCAACTGATAAGCAGACATCACCAGCCAGCTCCATACGCATCCTCTTTTCCTTTGCTGGGGGCTGCCGGCCCACTGCAAGGGTCTTCTCAGTCTCAGAGAGGCCCAGCTTTTTCAGCTCCTTACTTTTTCAGGAAGAAAACTCTTTCAATGACTTCTCCATTCTCTTTCTTGGCTCTGGGACCATTCTGTGAAAACAATTTGCCTTTCTATGATGTTCACCAATTCAAACTCTTTTCATTTTCTTCTTTTTCATTAAGTTTTCCTGATGTTAGGAGAATAGATACCTTGGAAGGTGAGAAAAATGAAGCTAAGGAGTTACTGCCATAGGTTTAGTTCCGATAATAACAACAATTAAAAAAAACCAAAACCTTTCTCAGTTTTGAGGTGCAGTCCATTGTGCTCAGGACTGAAAGACCATGGACCTGAGGAGATATTCATTTCTCCATTTGGATTTCTGTTGTTATACTTGTGGCAAGAGGAAAGATGGGGCTGCATGCTGCAAATACTTTAACTGAAGGGCTCATTGCAGCCTGTTCTATGAATTTTAGAAGTTTATGTGAGTTCAGAAACTGACAGAAAATATTGTGAGAGAAAAATGCATCACAACTATTATGAAAAAAAAATCAAGCATCTGAAGTCCAGCTAGGAGAGTACGTTAGCATAAGTATAATGTAAGCTTGTCTGGTTCTCAAAGCCTTTTCCAGTCCTTTGCCCATGGTCACAGCTGAAGATAGAACACTTGGCTACACAGAACATTGCTCCAGTGAAGTATAGTCATTCCTCTGATATTTGATCATGGTTTCTTGTATTACAGATACAGTGGCTCCAGCAGTGCTTTGCTAGATTCTGCAGCAAAGAATGCAATTGGCAGGAAAATGAGACCATGAGAATAATGGAGTAGGGGTAATGGTGAAAACTCCTGGTTTGTTGGCTAGTACTTGCATTTGCAACTCTTCAGGTCACTGCTAGGTTGTAGAAAATGCCATTAATTGGTAAGACCAGGAAACCAAAAGAATGCTAGTTTAAGGAAGTATAATAGGAGTCCAACAGCTATGCAGTGCTGTTTATCACTTGAATCATTCTGTATAACTTTCCCTTTTACTGGAAGAACACAAGATTCAAGTAACAAAGCTTTGCTCTGAAACCAAGAATCATAAGCATTTCTTGAAAAAATAATTCCATTTTATATACTCACTGCAATTTTTTTTTCCCTAGAAATACATGGAGTTTTACAATGAAAAATATGAAAAACTATGATGCGTGTTCAGGAAGGATCACAATAACTCAAAGAGGCATTTCCTGTTTATCGTTGCTTAGAATATTTTAATTGTAAGGTTTTGGATTTGGAAACCTGATAATGAAAGACTCAAGATCAAAAGATAAACAAGAGTAGGGAGCGTATGTGTAAAGTCCATCTTCCTGGAAGCAGAGAACTCTTAAGTGCTCTCAGTGGCAGGTAGATTAGAAACAGCTTTTCCACTCAAGTGAAAACATTTTTTAGGCATCAAAGTGGATAAGAAAGAGAAAAGGTAAAGGCTGGAAAAGTAGGCAAGAAGAGAAAAAGAAGAACAATGGTCAACACTTGTGGCATTTTTAGATTTTTTGATTAAATCAGACCAAACAAGTCAAACACTGTCCCAGGCTGGCTTGGTGAGTCTTCTGTCTGTCACTCCTGGGTTATAGGCTTCCATTCATGCCTTCACTAAGTGAAAATGTGTTTGTTTTCATCCAACTTCTTAGAGCCCTTGTAAGTTACACAGTCTTAACTTCAGTTGTATGCCATGCTCAGTTTTCTTCATGATTTCCATCCATAAACCACAGTTCTAGCGTAGTGTCTCAGAAGAAAATATTAAACTGTCCCCAGTCTCCTGAAGAGGTGGTGTAAGTTTTTGTCATTGACAGTTTTGTGAGCTACTCTTAGCTCCTTGTGCTGGATCTGGGAACGGTCTGGCTCAGCAACTTTTGCAGCTTTTTTTACATTTGTGTTGCAGTGTTTTTTCTCAAGGCCAGGCCTTTCACAACTCTCCAGCAGAGAAGAACATCAAAGATCCCAGTCTCAGCTCAAGACAGATGAATGACACCTGGCCCACTGCAGATGACTTCAGAAATGTGTAACAGAAAATATGCCAGCTTAGGCTTCATGCCTGCTTACTGACGAGGAGAGAAGATCTGCTCCACAGAATAACCAGAGCACAAGATAAACAGACAAATCAGCTCTGGAGGAGAGCAGATAGCAACTAAGTGACAGCAGTCATACAAGATAGTGTAAAGGTGTCCATATGGAAATTAGCACAGATTAATTAACATTATTTCATCCTGTAAGACAAGGAAGTGGAAATAAAGCATACCAACTCTCTTCTGAATCAATGCTGGGAATTGTGTGAACGGAAAGTAGGTCATGTCAGTGAACAGAAGCTGAACTTCCTGTGACTCTAACGCCTTCATAACAGGTTGAAAACCCCTGAGTGATAACAGCAAAGGTATTTCCTCAACTCAGTTTGTGGTTTTCTCCTTTTCCTTGTGTTGAGACAGCCAATCCTACTCTCAAATGATTTCGTTGTAGCTTTGCCCAGACAATGGCTGTGCAGTTACACTATCCAAAGAGCAGGTGTATGTTTGAAAGAGTCACAGTTGGGGTCACATTCCCTGCATATTTCAACATGATAAACAATTTGTGCCCCTTCCCTGTAGCTTGCTTTTCTTAGCACACTGGTAAGCACAGGGTGCCCTTGTGTCACCCTGCCTGAAAGAGCAAACACACAGCTGCTGAAGAGATGAACATCAAGCTCAGGAATTTAAAGTGACCTTCCAGACACCTAAAAGAGACTAGAACCACAGTTTGCTCATGCTTGACAAGTCATTTAGGGCATTATCAGATTTGAAACTTACCTTCTCCAGGATATATATCTCTCCCATAAATACACAATTTATATCCACATTTATTTTCTAGAATATCTGGCATGATTTGATAAACAAAGTATTCCACAAAATTAGCTTCATTGGTGTGGTTTTTGGGGTAGATAACATATGCATCATATATCTTCCCATCTGTAAGGCAAAACAAGAGGAAACTGTATTGTGTTGGCATGAATTAGAGCTGTCTATTGCAAAAACTAGGAGAGAAATAAAAATATCAGTCTTTGAAATAGATCTAAGAGGAAGCTCCTGCCTATCTGAATAATGTATATCATCGGGTGCATGTTTGGAAATTAGAGACTGTGCACATTTGTTGTTTTCCATGCTCAGTTGTTATGTCCTGTGTGTTTGTACCTTTGGAGAACCTGAACTTTGTATTGTGAAGGATGAATCCCAGGGTATATAGAGTAAGATTTCAATTATCAATGCATATTAGCACGAAATAGAGATGAAGCTCAGCATTTGTTATTTCAGTGATACAATGGGCTGTTAATAGACTTTGTCTCTCAGGACTTAAATTCTTCCATCTTGAAGAAATTACTCATCATTACCACAAGATATCATACTTCTGAGTGAAAAGCTCCATTAAGAAGTCTTATAGTCAGAATCAAGTACAAAGTTAAATATTTATTTAGCTCTTTGCTTCATTTCTCTCAAATATGTTTTCCATTACAGCATTTTTATTCTAACCCCAAATGTTTAATTTCTTTCTTTCCAGTGGAGATCCTTTCTTTTGTTCCTGTCTGAGGTTCTTGCACAAACCATCCTAACAATAGATCCTATGAGGAGCAACTGAGGGAGTTGGGTTTGTTTAGCCTGGAGAGGAGGAGGCTCAGGGGTGACCTTATATCGCTCTCTCCAACTACCTGAAAGGAGGTTTTAGCCAGGTGGGGGTCAGTCTCTTCTCCCAGGCAACCGGCAATAGGACAAGAGGACATAGTCTTAAGCTATACCATGGGAGGTTTAGGTTGCATATTAGGAAGAATTTCTTCACAGAAAAGGTGATTAGATACTGGAATGGACTGCCCAGGGAGTTGGTGGAGTCACTCTCCCTGGAAGTGTTTAGAGCACAGGTGAAAGATCCCAGTGCCTGGTTAGCTCTGTTGATTTTATTGGTAAGGAACTGGATTTGGTCTCTTAAAAACATGTACCACATCATGTCATTAGGCACTGCCTGCCCTTCAGCTGCCACTGCAGAGGGGTTCAAGTCTCGTTTAAGTCCTAATGTAGCTCCAACAGACTGTCTGCTTACAGCTAGACAGCTGAACACAGCACAGGTCTCCAGGGTTTTTGTCCATGATGAAAACTTGCATGTGTGCACCTTCTAAACCTTTAGTTGCATGCAACTAAATTTAGATGTCTTGATCTTGAGTTGAAGTCCACCCATAATACTAGATGGGATGTATTCCTCCCAAAAATGTCTTACACAATATTGTTATCTTTCTTTTTGGCTTATAAAAATTGTGTTGCTCTAACACATGCCTTTAACACATTAGCCAGCAGGTTTGTTCCTCTGCTTTAGAGAACACATAACAAGTACAGTTAATAGCAGTTAATGATTTTCAAAGTCATTCAATGTTTTTTGGCAAATATTTTCATTTTAAAAAACTATGAAACCAGGATTGAATTGCTCTTTTATGTAATACACCACTACAGAACTCAGGAAACAAGGGAATGTAAAGCATTTCCAGAGTTATGTATGACTTCTTTTAACTAAAGGCTTAGAAAGCAAAGGATCAGGCTAAGGTGTCATATGAGTTAGCAATCAAATATCAAATAAATTAATTTCCATATGATTTCTCATTTCCTTTTTTTAAACTTTGTTTCTCAAATCTTACTCACCGTCCTTGACGGAGTAGGGCCGAAATATCTCCCGATACAATAGGACGATATCAGCTCGGAAGGACTGATAAAGTATAACCGAGACTGCTATTGCAACTAGCAGAACTAGAGATCCTGCGATCAAGAGGACATTACAAAGAACCACTGCAAAGTAGAGGGATATATTGTTAGCCATAGAGAAGTTAACCTGTGTGCTGAAGATTTAGCCTTCTGTTATAGCTTTAAGGAGCTCAAAACAGAGATGACAAAGCTTTTTCCTTCCCCAGTTCATGTAGCCAACACAGAGACTCCTAAACTAGAAGCATATTAAGCAGTAGATAATTAGCATTTACTATGTTGAATCCAGACCTACTTATACTAAATACCATAGATGACAATGACGTTTAAGTATTTTGTAACTTTGTAAAAGTGTTCATAACACAACCAGGAGCAATGTTCAAACATTTTTTAAGACATCTAAGCCTATACATGAAAACCGTTAAGTGTCCACAAGAGGACAAGGCTTCTGGCATATTGCACAGAGAGGGTACAAGGAAGCATGATGTGCCTGTAATGAAATCTGCAATGTAAGAACTAAGTACACCAAACAAGCAGGAAAACAGAACACATCCTGGTCATAAAAATAAAATAAACTATGCTAAAGTCAGATGATGTTCTCTCCTACCTTTTCCTTTAAAGAGGGTCAAGGAGCATAAAATAGCAATGATGAGTAAGAAAAAATGGGAAAGAAAGTAGCCACCCACTTTAGTTCCAGCTTCCCTCATGGAAGAGCTCTTGAATCTCACCACCTTCATCTCAGAGATGAAGACTTATCAAGGATAGATTCAGACTAGATAAGGAAGAAATTTTTTACATTTAAGGTGGTAAAACACTGGAACACATTCCCCAGAGAAACTGTGGAAGGTGTCCTGCCAATGGCTGAGATGTTGGGACTAGATAACCTTTAAAAGTCCATTCCAACCCAAATCATTCTATGAATTTATGATTCTATAAGGAAGGCAATCACCAACTCTGTGCTAGTCTAGGACATGATTGTGATTAACACTCTTCTAGAAGAGATCTGCATTTCTATCACAATCCAGATAGACACATTTTTGCAACAGTCCATTTTTCCTCATGTTCTGTGATTCATGGAGCAGAAGTCAATCCAGATATGTGCATCTTCTAGATAACATCTAGTTCTGCTATAGCAGGAGACAAGGTGAGGTAGAAGCAAGGTCATTTTATACTCACTTCAAACTAGAAAGATAGAATCTTAATCTACAGACTGTTACAGTCATAAAGCTGAAGAAGATTCTCTTGACCTATGTCCTGGATGTACTGAATTCACTAGGATTCAGTATTGAAAAAACTATGAATTCCAGATGGCCAAGACTGAAACTCAAATATCAAAGGCTTTCTACAGCAATTACACAAAAAGGATTCATCATTCCGTTGCAGGGAAGATTAATGGCAATTGTTTCATAGTAGAAATCTGTTCCTAAGCCAATGAAAAAGATACCAAGGTCTTCTCCACTTGGTTGTAACATGTAGACTCAGAGCAGTCCTGCATACATTTTTTCTCTCACAAGTAAATCCATTAAGAGATTTCCATTCAAAGTCCACTGTCTTTACATAATTATTTGTACCTAACAGGACAACTCACCATCCTATAGTTGTAATGATATAACTGTTCTGGGGACTTTTCTGTGGTTCAGATCACTGAAATTACTTGGAATAAAAAATATACTCCAGGGGCATTGGATTAGGTGATGAACTTTTACCCCAAAAAAACCATGCATGAAAACATCCAGACTGTACATCTCATCTGCATAAAAGGGTCAATCTGTATTTTTATTTTACCATGCCCTGAACTGGAATATCACTAGAAGCATATATCCCTTCAATATCATGATGAGATTTGAAGTTTGTTGCAATTTCAGAATTATTTTAGCTGAGGAGAGACACTCTCTGTTGAAAATTGACCACATAAATTTAAATACAAACATTCTAGCAACACAAACATGGAGATCAGCTTTGGCATCCTCACTGTAAAGACCTTTCACAGCATCTCAACCCATGGTGGGTGATTATATGTACTGCTAGCAGCTCCACCCAGCTAAGCCTTATGCATTCAGAGCAGGGCACAGCCTTTCCGGGCTTTTCATCCTCTGCCTCCAAAATGCACAACAGACATGTGACTGCAGCAACAGAATATTCACCAGCACTTGAGGAGGTGCATCTTACAGCAGGCTGAAGAGCCAGCCTTAATTTCCTCTGCAGAAGAGGCAGCAAAGCAGATTGGAAAACGCTGCAAATTGTATGCAGTCAGTAAGTATGCTACCAAGTGAACCCACTGACCACCACCAAGGAGCAATTTGAGAGCTTTTGCTTGGACTTGGCACTACATGAATGAAGTAAGATAAAATATTTAGCAGTGAAAAGTCTCATTGAAATTTACAGGTTTCCTGGGCTTCTCTGGGAGGTATGGATTAAGGCAGTGTATTGAGTAGTACTTATAGAGGAAACCTAAAAATATTAGTGCCAGAGAAATTCTGCTGAAAAGGTATAGAAATGAAGAATTTAGAAGTACATTTTCCCTTTTCTCTGGTAGGATGTGAGGTAAATCTACCACGATTTTCACACTCTTTACATTTTTTTCTTTACCATTCAAAGGGAGAAGGAAACATCAGGCTTGTGATGAAGCTTACCTCACCAGAACTAGATCTGAGGAAAACACCTTCTGATAAGATTGAAGTGAGTAAGAAAACAACCAGTTCCATTTATGGTGAAGTTTGACGATTTTGTATTTTTCACAGTGCCACGTGATACCTATGAAGGAATCTCGTCTTTGTCGACCCCTTCAGATTTTATTATTTGATCCATTTTCCTGGTCAATTACACACACAGGGGTCTCGAGACCCCTGGTGGCCTAGTGGTTAGCGTGCAGGACTTTCACTGCTGCGACCACGGGTTCAAATCCCGGTCTCCTGGCCTGATGGAGGTCGTTAGCCCTGTGTGGCCATCCATCTATGAGAAGGACACTCTAAACAAACCTACGTCCTGAGGACCTCACTGCCATTGTCCAAGCTTGCTTGGCCCCGGCAGATGAACCTTAGGATTAAAGGGTGGGCTCAGTTCAGCGCAGGCTGTGTCTCACCTAAAAAATCCATTGCGCAGGCTGGAAAGGTAAAAGACCTTTCCCCAAAATCTTCGTTCGCGAAGATGGGCCATTACATTACATTACACACACACAAAATGAGGAAACTCCTGTCACTGCCTGGTGAGGACAACCCAAGCATCAGAACTTGACACTGTTTCTTATTGATTCATTTGTTGACAGTGCCTATCACAGCATTACTATTACTGTTGTAATGCATTGTCTCTATAAGCATCTATAGAAGAAACAGGTTCCAACAACAACGTCTGCAATTATGAACCTAAAAAACTGTTTATGTTTGGTTTTGTACTGATTAGACCAAGGCTGGAAAAGAAGTGATGAATTTCCTGTGCTTATGCAACTTGTAAAGCATCAGAAAAGAATTCCACAGAGGTCTTCCTGGAAGAGGAAGATCAATTCCCAGCAAGACTGGCTTAGCCTCTCATTTCTCTGGAATAAATCAGCTCTCTTCAGGACAAAGGGAGCAAGTGCCACAAGTCCCTGAACAAAGTTGAATAGATCCTGTTGTTCCACTTGACTTTGCTGCATCATTTAGTGGCAGACAGTTCATGAGTAGGCTGTCTTCTATTTATTTATATTCAAGAGCAATGGGAATACAGAACTATCAGCTCACAAGAAACAATATTGGAGAGGCCAGAGAAAACCTGAAAGCAACTTTTGAAGGATTTCCTGACAAACTCCAGAACAGTTTTTTCTAACTTCTCTGACTTCTAAGATGGATGCATTTCCAGACAGTAAAGGCAGAGATCTGGGTCTGGAATTCCTGTCCACATTAGTCCACCAAATATGAGTCAAAAGGTTAGGTTCAGCATTAAGTATCTTTGAGGAAGAACAGAGCTGATGCTTTGGGCTGACCTTTATCTCTGCTTTGAATGACTGGAATTTCTGGTGTTTTCCAGAGAAGAGGGTTCATGCCAGAATGATTTGTGGTCCTCTGGGCATTTTATACTTCCTCATGAATAAGAAACTGAGGAATGCTCAGGGATAAATAAGATGATGCTTGTGGGTCAGACACATGAAAAGCCACCTCCAGTTATTCAACAAGCCCTGAATCAAGATAATGAACTAAAAAGCAGTGACAGCTTGTATATTAATAAAGAGGGAAGGAGTTGAAAGGTATTCAGAAAGTCCATATGTTCCCTAGCAGACAGGTTAAAAGGGATGGTGAAGGGATGTTCCTGTCCTTGCTGGTAGAAGGAGATAACACGTTCACTGTTTCTGCAATTACTTGTCATTGCCTCTGTCTCAGGAGCTAACAGCTTCCCTCCCTCCACCACCAGAGATACTTTTGTGAGCATTCATCCATTGCAGTTATCAATGAGCTGAACTGACATGAACAGTGTAGATGATTAATTTCCTCGTTCTTGAGAGGTGGCATCTTTCAGCATAAGAGATACCAAGCAGCTGCAGAGGGCAACTGAGAGTAGTCTGGCAGGTAGAGTTGCTGCCTCTTGCCAGGTGTGCAGCAAGACTAGCTTTGTCTTTGCCACGAAATGTGGAAGAAAAGGGAATTAAAAGTTGTCACAAATTTATTAGCCTTAGTGACCAGAGGCACACTATTCCAGTGATACAGACAATTTCAGAGCATATGAGAAGACATGTCTCATGGCAGAGAGAGAATGTAAAATCTGGGATGATCACCATCTGTGGCATTAAAAAGGGAGATACAGTACTGAAAGATCTGTAGGAAATGGGATGTGAAGAGGTATTATGACTCATGAAGTGTTGGTGAGGGAGTTAGAAGATACCAAACAGCTTCGGCCAAAGAAGGGACAGAAAGGATGGGAAATAGTGTGGAAGATGGGTTCCATATTGACTACGGGTGATCAAATTCTAGGCAGGGGTTGAATAAGAAAAAAATTGAGAAATCTTCCACAGCAGAAGGAGAAGCAACCTCTAAATGTAGCAGCAGCAACAGCAGCTGAAAGATGCAGGGACATTAGCACCTCCTAATGGAGTCAAGAACACAGCTGCAGAGACTATCAAATGTCAGCATTTTTATTATCTTCAGAGGGAAGCTGTCATTGTTCTAGCATAAATATTGCTCAGCTGTGTGAGGAGTGAGTGAAGAAAACTAAAGCAGAGCACAGCTACTTCTGGACGCATCATTGCTTACACCCACAGTGCTGAGGAACAGAAGCAGATGGCTTGTCAATAGCAGCAACAAGGAGAAAGGAACAGGTATGCACACAAAAAGGGCAGCAGCAAAAGGGGGATCACAGTCAAGAGCTTTCATGAACATTTACTGAAGACTTATGGATAAAAAACAAAGTAAGATTTGTCTACAACAGAAGTCAGATTAAATGATTCACTGGATGAATACAGAATGTTACACTCTTTCCTTCATCTAGTTTGTAATACAGGAGCAATAAAGGAGTTGTATTGCTGAACTAGAGTGAGCAGAAACTGTTACTCAGTTTCCTTCCCTCTCATTGCAAGTACATTCCCACGCTCAAATACTTCAATGCAGAGCTGGTGTGCTTCCAGCTTCCTTGAGTGATGCTACGCTCACACTCACTTATCCAACCAAAACATCTGCCACCTTCCTCTGGAAGGATTCACCTACATGCTGTTATAATTCACCTACATGCCTTCTAGCCTTGGCTATGGCAAGAAAAAATGTCTAGTCCTGGAAGCCATGATCCTGTATGGGCAGTCAAGAATACTGCAGAACATGGATCTGTGCACACCCTGTGATCACAATGCGCTTGATTTTACTCTTTCCACTATTCACTTATAGAAAAATAATTCCTGTTTAAGGCCTTGACATTTATTCTCAAGGCCCTCAACAAAAGAGAGCAGGTTTAGATTAGATATTAGGAAGAATTTCTTTACTCAGTGTGGTGAGGCACTGGAACAGGTTGCCCAAAGAAGCTGTGGATGTCCCATCCGTGGTGGAGCTTTGAGCAACCTGGTCTAGTGAAAGATGTCCCTGCCTGTAGCAGGCAGGTTGGAACTAGATGATCTTTAAAGTCCTTTCCAACCCAAACCATTCTATGATTCTTGGTGGTTCAGCATATCTGAAGGGATAAGAAAGGAAACCATTGACTGCAGCTTCTCCTTGTGCCTTCACAGACAAAATAGCATTTTCTGCCATAGGAATCTAACCTTTGAGTGCTGGTAACAGTGCTTAGGGATCTGCCTATCCCTGTTAAAAAAAAAAAAAAATCCCATTTACTGCCTTGGATTTTTCTTCTGTTTCAGGTACTCCTGAAACAAAACCAAGGGAAAGCCTTGGAAGTGCTACTGATGCCTCTGTGTGGCACAGAGTGAACACAGTGGCACTCAGAGAGAGAAGATAAAAGAGACTCCAAAGAAGTTAGTCACACCACTTAACATTCAGTCAAAAAAAAGGCACTACAGTGGATGCAGTATGGGAAGGAAGGCAAATCAACTGGCAAACCAGCAGCTGAAGCTCTTATTTTTAAAGTTTGCCTGTTTTCTGCTGTGGTTTCACACTAGAAGCAACAGTTTGTCACAGTGGAGAAATAACCTAAAACCAGGATATTCTTATCACAGGGCTGATACAGTCACGCTCTGTTCTGTATATTTCATCTCTTGCTGATACTGTTTGAATAATGCCCCACAAACACAACAGAATTTACCCCAAGGACTTTCAGCCATGAGAATTTTGCCACTGGCTTCAATATGTGGGGAAGAAGCAGGCTGTTTTTCTCACTAGCAGAAACTTTCTTACCAACCAAAACAAAAAACTCACCAAGGTATTTCAAACTGAGTTCGAAGTGTAAAAATCAAAATGAAATATCTTACCCTCAAATTGTGTTTTGAGTTGTAATGTCACTGTGACTCTTGTGTTGTGCATTCTGTTCAATGCTATACATGTAAAATTTGACTGCAGATCCTTGTTTTTTACTTCAGTTATATTCAAAGTGGTCTCTTCGTAGTATTCTTGCTCATGTCCTTCAAAACTAACAGAGAGAGAAAGAGTTGGTACCATTGGTTTTAGTGGCTAGGCACAGTTTGCATAGAGGAAAGATTATTCTGTGTTATATGCACTTACAAATGTGTTTCTTCATGAAATCTTGTAAAATCGTAGTGTTTTGCTGGGATGTTATTCACATCCCATCTGACAGCAGACATTGGCTGTTTCTTAATCCCCAGGAGGGCCTGACATTTCAGAGACAAAGCAGCACCTAATCAAGACACAGAGAGATGTAAACATTCCTTGATGAAAAATGTAATTTTATTTTCCTCATAACATCTTTTTTTACAAATCTTCATATGACTTGTGAGTTTCGTCTTAATGATTTTGACATATTTTTCTGAACTACTGCTGACAAAATGATGCATAGAAAAGACTCAAAAAGAAATAATAAAATGAAATTTAACAAAAGATCTAATAAGACACCAAGGATTACAAAAGGAATTGTTTATATTTATTAGGATGAAGGCAATGTACATTTTACTTGTGATGTGTAACACGTAATCGGCTATTGAGAGACATGGAAAGTATATGCTGTTTTACACACAAATGTACATAGACATTAACACATTTAAATTTTAGTATTTATTCTTTTGCGTAAGTCTTGTGTGCAGAGTGTTATCTTGGATTTTATACAAGCTGGACAAAAGTAAAGTAAACCTGTCCAAGTAAAATTAAAACAGGAAAATATTTATTATATATTTGTCATTAGGAAATATTTATTCCAAAGCATCACCATTTCACTAAAAGAAGGTATAAATAAAACATGTTAAATTGTTTCCATGTAAATGTGCATCTAAGCAGGACTTAGATAAAATTATCAAATCTTATGACTAAATCATGAATTGGTATTTGAGAGCATGGAGAAATACCTTCATTTTTGCAAACAAGGGACAATAGTACCAGTACAACAAGTGGGTTTTATATGTAAAGTGAATTTGTTTCATGTAAGCAGTGCCAGATTACTTATTGTCCCAGACGGGTAGACAGAGCCCACAGTGCACTATACCCTGACCATCTTACTAGAGAAAGCTTTTCCTGGAGAACAGATCTAATTCACATCTAATAACGTGAAGAGACAACTGGGGGAAAGAGAAAAAAATAATGGTAATGCAAGTCAACATGGTAAGTCTATGAGCCACAGCATGTGGCACCTCAAAGTGGGCTGTGGGCCCCTGCAGTACTTGCTTACCAGAGCGGTCTTGCTGTAGGACAGAAACAGTGGAGTGGTAATTGTGATCCCTTCTCCCACTGGCCCAGCTTCACCCCCCTTGCCGTGGGAGACAGGCATCCTGGATTACCTATTTAGGTTTCAGATGGGTTCGGTCACTTGCTGGAGAGGTTCACTTTTCTCCACTGACTATACAAAAATCCCAGACAACTCACTCCTACCAGAAACACCTTGCTCTGATGGTTCAAGTTACCCAAGATGAATCTGAATCACCAAGAACGTCTACAGGCCTAAACAAAATGGAGGGAGGGAGCAAGCTCTACATCGTGGGCTCTCCAACCAGCTATTTCTAAGTTCACTCCTTGGTCCTGTCTTTCGGCCCTCCCAGTATCTTCCTGATAGATCAGACTGGTCTGATCCATGCTAGCCAACACAGACACAAGAGAGGCAGTGTTCCTCAGCCTCAGGGCCAGTGACCAGCCCCTTCCTCTCCTTCACTCCTCAACAGAGACAGAGACACTATCTCTGCATGGGGACTGAAAGTAACATGGAGTAGGTCTAACTGCAAGAACAGTCCATCTTTCCCTTTTAAGGGGTACCATCAAGCAGTTTCAAGGGATTTAGCTAAAGTCCTCTTTGAAGTGGATGGAAGCTGTCACCCCTTCAGCTGAGACGTAATGATTCACTGTGTGACTAATCCTAGTCTATCCTAGTGAGAGTAGAAGAGGTTATTTAAATCCCCTTAAACTACACTTCATACCTAAAAAACCCATCAGTTATCTCTAACCTCATACAGCTGTGCTAGCAGTGAATTAAATCTCGTAAACATTGTGATGCAAAATTGTAATGAAAAACAAAAATCTTCTGGAAGATCCCCATATTTGCTAGGCCATAACAAAATGTTAATTTAAAAACAATTTGAAATTTGTACTCACCAAGCTCCACTTCTATTACTTCTTTATTCTTTGGAAATAAGATTTGAGGAGGTAGAGGTGAGTGTTTTGCTTTAGAAATAAAAGAGGAAAAGAAAGCACATCTTAGAAAGTTGTGAAAATGCATTTTGTAAGATAACATCTGTAATCTGTACAGTTAATATTTTATGATCACAAAACAGAATTGCAAACTAACAGTGTTTCACATGCCTGTTGGAATAATCTGGTTTTAATCCTATAACCAAATATTTCTGGGGAGTACGTAGATGTTAATAGTTTCAGTATTTTCTACCCATTTATTTAATTTTTAAGTTTGTACATAAAGAGCAAGGAAAAAATTTAGTTTCTGAAGTACTGTTTTAGCTGCTGAGTGGGGAAAAAAAATCAAATGTAGTTATAGGCTTTGTTTTCTCAGCTTTTTTTTTTTCAAGAGATACAGAGATTCCTTCTAACACTGGAGAAATGAATCATATCCACTATATGAAATAGCTAATATGTACTTTTTTGCAGTATATGAACTGGTAACCCTCTAGCCCACAGCTGCCTGCCCATGTTCTTCTGTTTCCCCCATCTCTACAGCTCGACAGCCGAGCATGTCTGCTTCTGAAGACTCTGTGCTGTCTGTGCATCTCTTGTTCCTGCACACAACTGCTTCCCTTTACCTCAGTCTACATGACATTGAGCATTCCTCATCACAGAATGGTGCAGTCATAAAATCTTAAAGTTATGAAAAGACCTCTTAGATCAAGTCCAACCATTAACCCAGCACCGCTGTGTTCACCAAGTGAACTCTAAGTGCCACATCTACCTGTCTTTTGAATAGTTCCAGGGATGGTGATTCCATCACTTCCCTGGGCAGCCTATTCCAATGCCTGACTACCCTTTCAGTGAAAAATTTTTCTTATATCCAATCTAAACCTCCCTTAGTACAACTTTATGCCATTTCCTCTAATTATATTCCAGAAGGAATATTATTTTTTCTTTGACATATTTGGTTTTTATTCCCACTAATAATTGCTATGGACATGTCCAAATTACATCCAGCCATTTGAATTAGGCATTCGGATATTTCAGAATTTTTTTCTCTATATGTATTTTTCTTCTTTTCTTGCCCTTTTAACTATCTCATATTTCCCACTGCAATTGCATTGCTTTCTATTGTTTTCCTCATTAAACTTTTCCAACTCAAGGCACATCTGTGAAACCCATATAACCTATATACCCTAAAAAAATCTGCAGGACTCATTTATGCCTCTGGTTCCCAGACTACCAGAAAAGCAGTTCTCTTTACCCATCCTAACTGTTTCTAATTTTCATCAACTGGATCTGATAAAATAGAAGTGTGGACAGAGCCAGGAGCTCTAGCTAGCTGAATATGCTAAGTTCTTAGCTGCCAGCATTCAGAGGCAGAAGGTCCTCTGGATCAGTATGGATTTGCAAGGCAACAGGAATGTACATAATAATTCAGTATTATTAACAAAACTTAACAGCTCCACTCATCAGCATACTAATTTTAAGGTCTGATAAAACCTCAAAGAAGCTTTCATTAAGTACTTTGAATTTAGCAAAAACTGGAGCAGACATGACAGACCCAGCTCAGATTTCACGTGTTATGTTGCAATCTCTTCTTTCTGCAAGGATTTCAAAAGAAAATCAGATTGACTTCAAAATCTGCCTGAATGTAACACGGGCTTTTGTAAATTCGAATGCTTTTATGCCAAATAAAACCCAGAAATTTTTATTATAACCCAGGCAGAGCAATATTCCTGGCCAGTTAGAGAAGTTTTGATGGAAGTACATTCAAACAAAAATTATTAGGCAGAGAAGTGTCATGAAGATCAACATAGTATTACACAGAATAGGAGGAAAGGCACCAGACCGTCTAAGTTACTGTACTAAGTCTCAGCTCAAATCTGCCTTTTGTCCAGCTCAGAATAATTAGAACAAACTCTGCTACTGAGATGTGAGCACAGCAGCAAAACCTACAAGCAAGGCTCCTACACTCCAAATCTGCATTCTGCCCACAAGCTGGTTGCCTCCCCACAGCAACTGAACATTACTTGTTTTTGAAAAAAAAAAACAACAACAAAACTAAACAAAACAACAAAAAAAAAAACCTACACAAGCCAAGCTCAAACCCTCCACCACCCCTCAATAAAAGGTCTTTCTGACTGTTTTGCTACTGATCTGGTTGCAGAACTGAAAACGCATTTTGAAGTTTTGCAAGTTGATGCAACATGAAAGTGCTGATGTTTGTGTGCTATTCCCTGACCACATCCAAATACAAATTCTCCCTGAGGAGACTGCATCCTAGAGGCACCCCGAAGTCCACACACCTCAGTCATGTTGGCCATGTTCAAAATCACAAAGACACAGTAATCGATGAGCTCCACTCGTTTTCTGTCTCTATATATGTCTTGTTCATTTTGTCTCATTCAAGGCAAATCTAAAGATTTTTTCAAACCTACTATCAAATAAATGTTAGATAATCAAGATGGACCAAAAGACATTGAGTTATAGGTTATCAACACATCAGTGATCTAATGATCACCAGATGATCCTCACTAGCTACAAATTCTACTCCCCTCAAACAAATAGAAAGCAGAGCATTGTGGCATCCCTCTGAGGAAATCCTTCACTTCAGAAATAAGCGCTACCAGACAGCTCTATGAACCACAGAACATAATCAAGAGTCCCCAGTAAAAAGCTGAATGTGACCAGGCCAGACTTTACCCCATCTTGGTCCATTTGGATTTTCATCCACAAAATTCACCTTAAAAGGCTGATCTAAAGCTTAATTAAGATAAATAAACCAACTGAAAGTCCTTTTCTCTTTAATGCAAAAAAGAAGTTTCCTTTGCTCTAAGTTGACATTAGTCTTTTTTATCTTAGCAAGCTACAAAATGACTGCCTTACCCTCACTTATGAAAATTCTTGTTGCTGATGCATTAAACACATTTCCTTTATGAGTATAAATAAACTGACAAGTATAATAACCATCATCCTCCCTTGTTGGGTTCTCAATATAAATGTATTTTTCTTCCTTGAAGTATCTCTGTCCCTGAAGAGGTTTGCAGTCCTGGAAAAGAAAAATTTATTTGGTTGCAAGTAGCTTTTCACAGTATTCTGATCTACACTGGCACTCTTGGGGGTTTATTTACCTTATACCACTGGACGATAGTAGCATTCTTATAGTTATCAATGGTAGGACAAACAATTTTTCCTCTTCCAGTGTCATTTGGGTAACGAATCTGACTTGGGAAACATACTCCTTGCTTGTAGGAATGCACTTGCACACTCACGTTGAATGACTTTGTGCGATTTTTTGAACTTTAAAAATGGAACAAAAGTATGTCAATTATAGTATTTATATAGAGAATTTATTAAATATTTTTTAAAAATGTGAATCTTGTTCTATAAACCTTTGGATGATTATTTTACTTCAGTCACAGATTGATTTTAATGATCTGTTATAAAAATAGCAATTGCAGGATGAAAACTTATGAAAAGTTATGGAAAAAAAGGCATCATTTCCCCAAATAATAATTAGAAGATGTTAATAAAATGTGTATGTTTCTTGCTAGTCTTACACCTTTCATTTTTCAATGTGGAACTTACAGATGTGTTACACAAGTGTAGTTTCCAGAATCCTCTCTAGAAGTTGGCAGAAACCAAAGAAATCGTTCTAAGGAAAATATTCGTGATCCCTCCTCTTCTGCAGGAATTATTTTGTTAGTATCCATGTGATACCAGGTAACTTTCACAGATGAACTCCGTTTGGGACATTTTATAACTAAAGCCTCACCTTCCATTGGATCAACTGTAAATGAACAAAACATTAAAATTTTAGATGAATTAAACCTTTGCCCCACTGAGACAGAGGAGAACTTGGCATTCCTGAATCAGCAGGCCAGTCATGTCCCTCTGCCTTCCTTGGGCTTTCAAAGATGACACATAGCAAGCTTATTCTCACCAGATTTTTTTCTTTCAATTTTGTTTATCTTGAGTTATGAAGCCATTTTTTTCCAAAAATAGTAATTCATCTGTGAGACTGAAACAAAGAAACAAAACCCTAGATTCTAAGCAGACACATGCTACCAAATATGAGGATTTAGTTGAAAAAATAGTGATTTCTTACAATGAACTTCTTATGTAAATCTTTGCCTGAAATACTGTTTTTATTCAAAAGAGGAATTAAAACACAAAGAAAAATACTGGCTTTAATGCTGCACTATGAAATTAGCTTTCCTTACTTCAATATAATGAATAATTATTTATACAATAGATAAGTGTTTTTGTTCTGGCTTTGTAAGGCAGAAAAAGGAAATTGATTTTTTTTCATGGAAGAAAAGAATCATAGATGGAGGAAGTCTATAGATTAGATCCTTAGGGGAAAAAACTCAACCAAACAAAAAACACAAAAGAAGAGCTTCTCTTTGAAGTTCGTGAAAATTTGGGGGGGGGAAATGAAAAAAATATAACAGACTGAAAGGAAGAATTTGATGAGAAGGTGGGAAGGTGAAAAGATGCTAGAAATAAATAAGAGACAAATAAGAAGTTTAGGACAATAAACCACACATGCTCGCACATAAGAAAAAAGAGGAACAAGTTGGGAGTAAGACACTACATTCTTTAATAATTTTTTTAACTGCATATACTTCTACTTTTGAGTACTGAAACTGGTCCAGAGAAACTTGAATCAAGCAATTTTGACAAACATTTGAGTGCTCAGGCACCTGAACAGTGAAACGCCTACTGAAAAAAGAAATACTAATCTGAAAGTTATATGGCATTTTGAGAAGAGAAAGATGAGGAAATGAGCATGGATGGTGATGGGATAAGGATGGAGATTGGCAGAGGAACTGCAGTAGATAAGGGAGCATGAAAATGAGAGTAAACAACCAAATAGGTAACCAAAATAGAGAGTATCTATCAAAAATGACACTTCGTGAGAGTATTGCCGCCACCTGGCTTTAGACACGTAGGCGCGCAAATCAGATGGTAAGCCTCTCTACATGGTGAATTCTTCTGCTTTGGTTCTTTCTAAAGAAGCCGTCCATCTCCACTGATATTAGGTGTCATCTTGCTTACTAATTCAGGCACCTAAATTAGCCACATCAGGTATGAATACCCACAACCTCATCATTTTAACAGCATTCCCACCCATCAGCCTTGCAAAGACAGTGGGACATATCAGGAGTGTCAGAAAAGGCAACATTGTCCCACCAAAGGTGAAACACATTTTAAATACAGCTTTCTCTGGGGAAAATAAGTAGAGAGAGGGAAGACATGGAAAAAGAGAGGCCTCATCTAAACTCAATTACTTTAGTGAAAATTATTTTGATAAATTCTTCAGCAAGATTTGGCATCTTAATAAATCTAATTTGTTTGAATCTTAGCATTCATATTGTAAAATTGACAATATCAGGAAATATATAGAGATCATATCATACAAAATTTTTCAGACAAATAAGCATCTCAGCTAGAGTGCTGGGTAACACTATGTCACTGGGCAGCAATATAGAGCTGAGTCAGAAGAGCTGACCCATCAGAAAGAGCTTACTGTTCGGAATATTCCTCATGTGCAGACAAATGTTGTTGTTAAATTGCACTTTTCAGTTAACACCCCTAAATCTGGGACATTAAAGAGCATTTTTATTGAGCAGAGCACCCAGTTACACCCCTGGTTCAGCAGGGTGCATATGCAGAGGCCCTGTTCAGTGCAATCTAAGCATGCTCTTGGAGACATTGCCTGGCTGAGACCTTGAGCAACAGCTACGCTCAAGTTCTTTCAAAAAGACCCTTTTCTTTCTGCTTTCAGAGATGTCAAGTGGCAGAGTAGAACCTAGACTTGATGTTGTAGAAATGGACAGTACTTGCTGTGTTTTAATATACAGAGAAAACACACCAAGTTTTTAAGTCGTGATTTGCAGCTTGAGATAAACTCAGTAATTTTAGGTTTAAAAATAAAACCACCTATTTGTAAACAGCCTACACATTTCTACAGAACAAACCTCATCAGAAAGTATTTTTAAAATGTGACTTACATGGTTCAGTTGTCATGGAAACCAAGAGGAAGGTAGATAGGAAGATCAAATCTGCGTACCCTGTCATATTTCTAAACCAGAAAGAAAAACATTGGTATCTTAGAATATACTCTGACTGCATCAAAAATACTGTACTGATGTACATCGACTAACAGAAAATGGTATCATGCAGTGATAAACTGCATCATGTGAGCTGCTCTGTACAGTGTATCTGTGTGTGTTTGTGTAGCAGTGGTTTTGAAACTTTGAGATGTTCTTTGTTCTATTATCAGTGCAATAGCTGATGTTCCATTGGAACTATTGTTATGACTTACTTTAGGGGTCGGGGCATTACTCTGCTATGGTGGGCCTCAGGCAGAAGCCTCTTTTCACTTGGTTGCTTCTTTCTTTTTAAGGAAGCTAAATGTACATTGGCATTCTCTTCATAGTCAAGTGCAGAAAAATTATACCTCAACTTAGAAAAGAACATATCCTGGGTTAGAAAATATATACCTAGCTTTGAAGGAAGGTTACATCCAATCAACTACTTAGGTGCACAACACCTTTTTGGCTTTCTAAGGAAATGGAGGTGTTTTCAGTGACAGCTCCTCTAGGTAAGTGTTTAGCAGTAAGAACAAAACCAGGTGAGTGACATCAAAAATGCCAACCTGAAAGGGAACTGAAAACATGGACTGGAAAGGTAGGTAAAGGAACACATATTATACTTATGTAACAGCAGTAGGGCAAATCCCATCCTTCACTGATGTTTTCATTTGTGTCTAACTGATATGGACCTTCTTGTAATCCCCATCTCATGATATGGCTCAAGAACTAACGGATCTGGGTGCGAACTCTCTGTTGGTTTTCCCGGAGAGGAGCTCGGCCGCGCTGTCCCCCTCTGGCAGGCAGAGAAAGAGACCAAGCTTCCCCAGGCGTTCTGTGCCAGAAAGACCTTTAATCTAAAACTCCCGCGGTTTATATGGGTTCGGGGGGAGGGGAAGAAGGAGGGCTATGATTGGGTCGAGGTACGGGGGGAGGGGAGTGGCTTGAGAGCCCACCAACCAATGGGAGCTACAGGAGGACCGCATTCCAGTAACCGAGACAGGGATTTGAGGAGAGGCGGGCACAACAAGAATCCACAGTCGGGGAGGGGAGACCGCATGGTTCCAAGTGGGGGGGGGGGGGGCCGCATGGACCAGGGGAAGTACGTAACTCAGGGAAAACCCGTACAATAAAAACGCAAGCTGTTGTTTTTCTGCTTCGCTCGGTCCTGGGGAGCTGCCGCTGTAATGAGCCTGTTTCTAAAGCTGTTCTTTCCAGGTTTCGTAATCCTGCCGTTCACCCACAAAGAACTCCACAGCAAACCACTTTATTAGAAAAACTGATCATTTGATCATGGACACTAGGTTGATCTAATCCAGGAATATCTCAGGAGACAGTAGGCATGCAATCCAGCTATACTACGTAGCTGCAAGCATTATACTTACCATTAATAAACCCTTCCCTTGAATGCTGTCCTTCACTGCAGATCACAGAGTGGTGGGTTGTATTATCATGTGTGAGTAAGAAGCACTCCCACGGTACTACAGATAATTGACAAGCTTTCAGGAGAAATCAAGTTAGAAATTAATTATAATTAATCTTGCAGACAGTGAGCAGAAGTAGTGAAAAACAGGCAAGAAATGTAAGTACCATCATCACACTTATGGCAAGGAAATTTTATTTCAATGCCAAAGATTTCCAAACTAAATGAACATTGACAGACCTTATCAAGGCCTACATTTTTGCCAAGTTTGAAATTCACAACAGATTCAATTTTGAGCTTTCACAAATATCACCAACTTTTTATTGATTTGGAAAGTTTCTTCTTTTAGCAGGTTTAATAACATCCAGAGGGCTATTCTAAAACCGTGAAAAATAATAACAAAACAGTATTGGAAGAGAAAAGTGTGAGAATTTCAATGTAGGTATTGTGCAGGGATATTCACAAATCACAGGAAAGATGAGGTTTAGACCAAAAAAAGCAGAGTCTCAGCATTAATGTCACAGCAGGGCTGATGCCATGTCTTTTACAGAAAGCGAGTGAACAGCCAATGTGTGTGAGGAGTGCTATTTGCTTTCATTAGAACAGGACAAAAGCACCACATGCAAGTGTAAGTCTATTGACTTCTTTAATTCTAAGGAAACTTTAGGCCAGGTGAATAGATTTTTAGAGGATACTTTTGAACATAACAAACATCAGGACTTTTGCCCTGGAATAAATTAACAAGCTGGCCCAAAACAGGGTTCATCAGTGACCTGGCTCAGGACAAACCCTCAGGAGAGAAAGATATGTCACAAAACAGCACACAACAAAACTCACAGCATTATTTCTAACACTATCATGGACCAAAAATACCCTGACTATTCCTTCTCTGCTGAGAGCCTTTTCCCAGCAAGCGTTTGGTTCTGTTCCAGGAACTTATTTGCCCCCAACAAGGTTTACCAGCAGTTATACTAACTGCCCTACTATTTTTTAGAGCTATTTTGTTTAAGCAACTGATACCTCAGCAAGATGACAAAAAGTAAAACAATTGATTTTTAAAGGAAAATCAGTTTCATAGACTATCTGAAATGAGGTCCTTTCTCATTTGATATTTTATTTGTATGTGTCTATTATGCATTTGGCCACAAGTAATACCATTAGCAGAGATATTGGAGAGTCCCTTATTGCCAGTGCTATTGCAGCCCTAGAACTGGAAGGCTGGTGAGGAGGCGTGCTTTCTCTGTTTTTGAGATACAGCTTTGTCCAGGAAGGGAGACAATTACTTGCTCTCAAAAACTTTTCTAACAAGTGCCAGAATGATTCAGGAGTAAGAAACTTATAATTTCTTTTCTCCATACTTGCTACCAGCCTGCACCAAAAGAGTGCAAAATATTTGAGCTGGGATTCTCCCCAATTTGATGATTTCTTTATTGATTTTCCCTCTATTTTTAAGCTGCCTTGTACTGGCAGCAGTTTAAATAGAGTTTAGGGTTTGTGTGTATGAATACAGACAATATATGAGGCTCTAATTAAAGAGGAATGTTCCCTGAAAATACAAAGACATCAGGCAATTACAGAACAATGTGATTCTGCTTGCATTTTCCAAAGTCAGCAGCAAACATCAAATTACCTCAATATGAACTGAAGCAGAGGTTACAGTTTTAGACAGAAAATATCAAGAGAAGAACTGGTTCTATAGTGCCTTACAGCTTGTGGCATTACTGTGCACAAAGCAAAATTAAGGCATTCATATGTCCATGATCCTTAGGTCAAATTAAAAGAGTATTCTGAGGCACAAAACAAAGGCAGTAAGACACCTCATGTCCCACAGTCAAAAGAAGTTTTCATAGCTTGAAGCACTGAGAAACAAAGGCCATAATTTCTGGAAATAATTATGCACTTTCTGCTTTTGTAGTTTCATTTAGAATGTCTGTTTTATTACATTTGTCTAATGTGAAACCCAGATAACATATTTTTGAGTCCTCAGTACACCATAAATTTAGATTGGTTATATTAAGAGGGAAAAAAGATACAGAAACATTTTCCATAAATCTCTTTCTTCCTATAGCTCAGAATAAAAATTTCAGTGTGATGCTGAAAAAGCACTAGATCCAAAACTTGGGATAACTACCTGAGTATGTCAAAACCTAGCTTCTAATGATTCAACATCAAAGGAAGGTGAAAGAACTGGGAACCCGCTATGTATGTTGCAGAAGCAGTACTCTATAGGGCTTAACCCGTTGTTTCTCCAATATATCTTGTAATATATTTCTGATTTTCTTTCCAAAATTGTATTTGGCATCAAAATGTTTCTAGTACTGTTTATAAAAGTGACAAACGTTATAAAGGCACCATACTTTGCATGCTAACAAAACTTGGAAACATTACTGCAATTTCTACTTTAAAAAGCTTAACAGATTTTACAAGGTAAACATACCATGAAAGAGGAGTTGTGTGAGATTTGTTTACTAAGACATAAAACCCACATACCTTTTGAAAGCGATTTTCATTCTTTTAACAAACCAGAAAATCCATTCTGACTGAAAATGGGCTGTTAAAATAGCAACAGTAAAACTGTACTTATTCCAGAACTAACATTCACAAGAGTTAAGAACTACACTAGTTACAGTGTAAAATTTAGGAATTTCAATATCAAAATATGGAAATGTTAGAATTAATATACACAGTATTCTTAAAACTATTTTGAAGAAAGAAAGTACATAAATATATTAAACTCCAATAAGTCAATTGCTCAGTAAAGATTTTCTGTGTCTCTCACTTGTTAGTAAAGCTGTATGCCAGAAAACTGAGGCCAAATCCACTTCTAAATACATTTCACTATAAGATAAATCTTTATTTTGGTCCCAACATTGTCTATCATGGAAGTATATCCACTATTCTAACCTAGTATTATTTTTTGAGATAAAGAAGCACATAAGTGAACTGAATAAAAACTTTCTTGTCAAATCCTACAATTATTTTTGGTTAAATGATAGTATAAAAATTTGACCTACCATCTGGAAAATTCAGAAAGCAGAGAAGTGGCTTGTTCTCTGTGGCTGGATCTTTTGCACTGATTTCTTTGCTTAGCTTGTACCAGACATTACTTGGAACTCTTTATCTGTCTTGTGCAGTTCATATCTGCATAGCAAAATACACTGCTTAATCCTGAGACACCTCCCACTGAAGAGAGCAGAACATGCAAATTACTGTAGTAATTTTCCCTTAAATGTCTATCAGAGGTGGCATCTCATAGTTCAAATCAATCAGATATCTTTTACCACTAGCATAGTTTTTCCATTAATTGCAAATTATTCCATTTCAGTACCATTATATTGCAATAAATGTGCTGGGCTGGGGAGGACAAAGAAGGGACACAGATGGCAGAGACTGCTTTGAAACATTCTGCTTGAAAACAAGTAACAGCTTTGCCTGGTCTAGTCAGGTGAAAGCTTCTTGAGAACAGCTCTAAAAGTCCCTGGTGAATCAGGAATAATTTTTAGTGTAGGAAACTGCTTCACTGAAGCTAAACTGAACAAAGAAGGTGCTGAGAAACCAGTTTTCTGCATCATCAGCTAAATTAAGCCTCTGAGGGAAAGATTTTATTCTGTGGTTATTCAGATTTTTATTTTTTTTCCCCTGGCAGAGTTATGAATACCATTTTTCCCTTCCAGTGTTCCTGGGACTCTACTGTCAGCATGCAGCAACTCCACATCAATACACAAAGATGTACCAATCCTACTCCAGTATGCAAAAATTTTATTGATGTCACGCCCTTGCTCTCCCCAGTTCTTGGTACAGCACTTCCTTTGAAGTGGTCTGGGGGTTGTGTTTCTCATATGACCCAGAAGATGCAAAAGAGCTAAAAAAAACCCCACCTACAACAATGAAATCTCACAATGCTTTGGTCAACCAGTCAGGGTCAGATCAGACCCCTATCTTAAAAAGTTCACAAACTACTCCTTGCTCAGGTTTGTGAAGTTTCATCAACATCAAGGTCTTCCTCATTTCCTGATGTGAGAGACTTGGAAAAAAGTCTGGCGTAACCATCTGCATTCAGTGGTAGGTTCAACATCCTCTAAACACAACATGTCAGGTTACTCTGGGGAAAGGTTGAATATAAACAGGTAAAGCTAACTTCTGTTGCCTGGACACAGAATAGGTTATTCTATCGTAAAGTCCACTGAAACTTAGATCAGAGATTCTTATTCTGCACACCTCAGAAGAGCCCTTCATCCTGTAGTTTGCTACCCATGCCCAGGTTGTTCCCAGATCATGGTGCAGGAGGGAATCTAGCTCCTGGCTAGAGAGGATAGTTGCCAGATGAGCAAAAGCCATTCTGTAGCTTTCATAAGAAACTACAATCAGTGTTGAATGCTTTGTGACTTTTGGCCCATCTTTAAAAAAAATTCTACTGATAAGTATATGGAAAAGTGTGCTTACAGAAATACCTCAAGTGATTTCTTTGACGAGTGAGATGCATCATGCTCCATTGGCAGCCAGTATGTGTAGCACTTCAGCAAGCAAGGGAATCATCTGTTCTCAAAGCAAAGAGGTAAAGAAGTAATGGGTTTAAACTGAAGCGGGGAATAGTTAGGCAAGACAGCAGGAAAAGTCTTTTGACAGGAAAGGTAGTGAAGCACTGGAAGAGTTTCCTGGGAACCTAGTGGAGCTGCCACTTGGTATTAGAGAAAAATTTAGTATTGGTATCACGATGCTGTAGCTGACCCCTCAAGTCCTTACCAGCACTAGGAGTCAATGGCCCAGAGATTCAACTGTCCATGATTCAATGACTGGTTTTGGTGCAGCATGACTATATGAATTTAACTCAATTGTGTTGGCAAAATTACTTCTAGGCTGTGAAAAGCATGCACACTAAAGCATGCAAGATACCAAAATTGAAAATTCAAATCAAAAGAAGTTACTGACATCTTAATACTTAGGCATTCAAGCATGACATAGGAAAAATAGTAACATAGAAAAAGATAAAGTCCTCAGATAAAAAGCAGAGATAGTGAAACAGCAATTCAGCAACTTCAGGGTTCACTCTGCCTCTAGATGTAGTGTTTTGTCTAACAGCACGGTAGTCCTACTTGTCTAATACTTAACTCTACTAGGCAGGAAATACTTGCTGTGTAAAATTTTTGCTCCCTGCTTGCAGACCGTCAGTACACACAGTAGGGAACATCTGGATACAGTTGGCCCTGTCAGGAAAGGTTTTGCTCTCTACTTTTATTGAGGCCAACCCAGGGAACATTGGCAGCAAATGGTGGGACAGCAGGGGTGTTGGATGTTGGGTGTGTCCCCACCTGTGTTACATCTAATGTTTTTTTAGCTGATGGGGATCCACCCTAATGAGGTTGCATTGTCCTTCCTGTTCCTCTGTGTCATGGTGCCTTTCTCGAGGCTAAACAAAGGCATCTTGTGTTTTGTGTAAAAGAGAAATCAGAAAGATTTTTCAAGGTTTATAATATTGTAATGGGGATGGACTTCTCCCAAGGTAAGAGTTGCCCCTGGTCTTTATTGTTGATCATGCAGTCCTATTACCACTCATATTGTGATAAGAAGAATGGGCTGGTCCCCAAATAGCTCTGCTGGTTCCTTTCGTTGAGAAGTTTGAGACAGTTATCCCAAGAAGACACTGTTGGAGGGATACATGCCTAACCAGAGTGTATTGGGTTTATGTGGCAAAACTTGGGAGGGTACAGAGGTGACTTCTGTGAGAAGACACCAGGAGCTGCTCCCATGTTGAATAGAGCCAGTCCCAGCCAGTTCCAAAACAGACTCACGGCTGGCCAAAGCTGAGCCCATCAACAACACTGGTAGCACCTCTGTGGTAACATATTTAAGAAAGGGTAAAAAGTGCTGCACAGCAACTGTGAGAGAAGACTGAGATGACCCTGCAGAGACCAAGGTCAGTGAAGAAGCAGGAGAAGGTGCTTCAGGCACTGGAGCAGAGATCCCCCTGCAGACCATGAAGAAAATCGTGATGACACAGTTTGCCCTCCTGCAGCCCATGGAGGACAACAGTGGAGCAGAAATCCACATCCATGGAGGATGCCACACTGGAGCAGGTGGATGTGCTCTGAAGGAAGCTGTAGTCTATGGAGAGTTCATGCTGGAGCAGGCTCCTGGCTGGAACTGAGGCCACTGAAAGGAGCCCATGCAGGAGCAGGTGTTCTGGAAGGTCCTGTGGCCCATGGTGGACCCACACTGGATCAGTGTGTTCCTGAAGGCTGCAGCCCATGAAAGTACCCACACTGGAGCTGTTTGTGTAGAACTGTAGCCCATGGGAAGAGCCCATATTGGAGAAGTTTGTGAAGAACTGTCTCCTGAGAGAGGGACCCCCCATTGCAGCAGGTGAAGAGTATGAGGAAGAAGAAGCAACAGAAACAAAATGTTATGAACTGACTGAAACCTCCGTTCCCCATCTCCCTGTGCCACTTGGGAGAAGGAGGTAGAAGAGTTGGCAATGAGCCTGGGAAGAAGGGAGGGGTAGGGAGAAGGTGGGATTAGTTTTGCTTTATTTCTTATTATCCTACTCTGTTATTAACTGGCAATAAATTAATTTCCCCAAGTTGAGTCTGCTTTGCTCTTGACACTAATTAGTAAGTGATCTCTCTGTCCTTATCTCAACCCATGGACTTTAATAGTATTTCCTCCTCCTGTCCTGTTGAGGGAGAGGGTTAATAGAGCAGCTTGGTGGGGCCTTGGTAGCCAGTCAAGGTCAACTGGCGTGGCAAGCTCTCACACAACAGTGAGGACATGCATGTGGATGGGAAAGGATTAATAAATTTTAAAGTATTAGAAAACCATCAGTATTTTTACCATACTCATCACTCTCCTTCATTCCACCAAACCAGAGATATCAAATCTCTTATAAGGTTTTCAAATCCACTGTAGTTGCCAGATAGTGTATTAAAGTTCAGAGGATGCAAAATGGAGGTGACACCATCTTGAAGGAAGCAATTGGCTAAAATAACAAGAATTATATCTGTCCTTTTTTATGTAGATGGCATGTATTTCCTTTGGGTTGCACATTCATACATTACTTGGTATGTTATTTGATCACTAGCAGTTTAGAAAAGATCTTAACAGTGATAATTATGCTTGTCAGGCCAAGGACAATATTAAAACGAAAAACATAACATCGTTAACAAAGCCCATGTGTCTTAAAACCAATTTCCCTTGATAAAGAAGTTTTCAATTTCTCTGCTCCATGCCTTGCCCCAAAAGGAAAGTAGCTGCATCACCATCCCACAGAGTCAGATACAGCCAGCCAGAATGAAAATAATAGCAGCTGTTCTGAATGTCTGAATGTCACCAGGCCACCAGCAGGATCCCCGAGGGGAAGACCACAAAGCCCACCAGGGAGAGAATCAGTGCAGTACATCTGTTGCTCTTATGGAAATTAAAATACTTCACTGAGTCTTCAGGATCTTCCATTCCCACAGATGGTCCTGTCCTTGGATGCCAGAATACTTTAAAATACAGAGGTGAGAGTGAGTCTGAGCAGGCAATTATCTTTGGCAAGAAACCTGTCCAAAGTTTTTCCACAAAAGAAACACCAAACAAACCAGCCCTCCTGTGCCCAAATAACTTCACAGCACAGACAAGATGTATGTAAGTGAAATCTTCCAAATTTTAAGTTAAAGGCCATGAGATGCACAGGAAGACATTGCTTGATGTAGTAGCGTAGATTAATTCCAGAAGTCTCAGGTCCTTATAGCCAATCTTCCCCTCGGAGTGCACGGGAAGCTAATTTCCTCCCATGCAGTGCCCACTCTGTGTTTCATCACTGTGGAAACAATTCTTCAGCACATCACTGTTGCTCTTATCTGACCTCTATCTTGAGAATAAAGAGGTTTTTTCTACACAATTTCTTAGGAAGAAATGTCTACAAATACATGGCATTCTGGAAATCATAACTCAGATGCATAAGACACAATTCTTATTAATTTACACAACTGATTGGGGACTCTCTGGAAAGTCATTGAAGATAATCTGTTGACAAATTATATCATTTATAATGACTTCTTACTAAATATTTTGTTTGTTCCCAAATGTACATAAGTTACTGGAAGTTAATGTCTTACTGACAAAAGAG